AGAGCTCTCTCAGCCCTTCCACCATGTGAGGACACAACAAAAGGCTAGCCCTCTGTGAACCAGGAAACACCCGATCCACTAGTATTTTCATCTTGTACTTCCCAGCCTTTAGAATTATGAGATATGTTTATTTTTGTAAGCCACACAGTGTATGGCAGTCTGTTATAGAAGTCTGAATGAACTAAAACAGTCCCCACTTTCAAAAAAACTGATGTCACCCAGGGCTCAGTGAAGGTTAGATGACAGCTGAGGACACGTGACTAGAATGAGCAGATGTGGGAGCTGAACACAGGTAACACCAGGAGAATAATAGCTGCTCCTGCCTCTGGCTACCTCGCTCCCACTGTCTACTGGGGAAAATTGTTGTTGTTCAGTTGCGGAGTTGTGTCTGACTCTTTGCGACCCCATGAACTGCAGCCCACCAGGCTTCTGTCCTTCACTATCTCCTAGAGTTTGCTCAAACTCATGTCCATTGAGTCAGTGATGACTCATTGGTAAGCTGGGGAAAATGGATTCAGGCAGATGAAAACAAGATGAGAGAGAGGCTGCTGAGGACTCTGAGGGATGAAGCCAGAGAAGAGATCAAGGAGGAAGTGAGTCATTCTGACTGGGGGGCCTTAACGGCACCAGAGTTTGAGCAGGGCTTTGGCAGAGGAGTCAGGATGGGGGAAGGGCGCCCAAGAGCCGTTTGCCACATCATTTTGCGGTCTTGCCCCTCAGCCACATCCCAGCTGCAGCTGCATCTCATCCATAAGCGGACGACTCACACCCGTAATTCATTCATAAGCGTTTATTTCCATCTAAATCAGCAAACGGACATGTCTCCTGATGGCCATGCACGCGCCTCTCAGGGCACTGGTCCACTCCGAGGGTTGGCACAGGGGGGCTGGCTGTGCAGTTTTGATAGTCCCATTGGAGGAAATTAAGTGCTCTGAGCAGTTGCTTACTAACAGCTTCCAAGGTGGGAAATCAACCCCTTTGCCTGCGGTCTACAGATAACATTGCCTCAGCAGCTTGCTTTCCTCCAGCTTGTAAGAAAATTGGGACTTCCCCAGTGGGTGTATGTGTGGGGAACCTCACGTGGAGGAGGACAGCAGTGGCCACACCCATGATTGTAATAGCAGCTAACACTGATCGAGCACTCTTTATGTCCTGGGGCTGTGCTAAGTATGGTAGAGAAATATCTTCTCTTACGTGGGACTAGGTTCTAAAGTCAGCGTGGAAGAGGCAAAAACTTGTGTCTGGCCGAAATTCGCCTGAAAGGTCCCTTAAGTTGTCCGTAACGTTCAGGCACATGGCCATGCGTGCTCCTGAGCACCAGTCTTACTTATAAACATGGACAGTATGATTTTGCCTAAATGCGTCATCAGTCTCTCTCTCACCTCGTCCTCAGTCTGGGACATTGAAAGTAGGGATGGGGGGAGTCACCAATTTTTAAAATCATTATTTCTCTCCCATCCCCTTTTCTCCATCCTGCTCTTCTTCCCCTTGGTTTTCCCCCTCATCTTTTCAGAAACTGAACACATCAATTTGAATTGCCCTAAGTTAAATTCTTGTTTAATACAACTTCACTCTTTGACTTCATGCTCAGTGCTGGGGAGGGGAAATTGCCCCCTCCATCCCTCTTGATGTCTGTGGTTGGACACAAGACAGATTAGCAGGAGAAAAAGAGACATATTTGAAATTCTTGCTGGTCTCTTAGGCATGGGATCTAAGAAGTGACCAAAGCAGATAACTTTTATACTTTCAGACAAAGAGATAATATATTTGGGAGGAACTGACAGGAGAGAGAACCTTAGGTTTTGGGTGCCCAACTAGTGACAAATCTAAACTGAGTTTTAACTTGGGGTAGTAAATAAAAGCAGTGACAGAGTTGGTTTAGATTTTGGTTTCTTGCCTGAATTCCCTGTCTCTGACAGTAAGGGTGTCCTTCTACCTCCAGATGCAGGGAGTACACCTTTCGCATGAGAGATTTTTTTAATTTATTTTTTAATCGGAATATAATTGCTTTGGGCCCCCAAGGAGGCTCAGTGGTAAAGACTCCACCTGCCAAGCAGGAGATATGGGTTCGATCCCTGGGTTGGGACGATTTCCCTAGAGGAGTGCCTGGCAAACCCACTCCAGTATTCTTGCCTGGAGAATTCCATAGGCAGAGGAGCCTGGCATGCTACAGTCCATGGGGTTGCAAAAGAGTCAGACACAACTGAGCAACTAAACAACAACAGTACAACACAACAACAGCAACATCATTGCTTTCCGATGTTGTATTCATTTCTGCTCTACAACGATGTGAATCAGCTCTATGTATATGTATGTCCCCTCCCTTTTGAGCTTCGCTCACACCCCATCCCCATTCTACTGTTTTAGGTCATCACAGAGCACCAGGCTGCATTCCCTGGGCTATGCAGCCACTTCCCACTCGCTGTTTTACACGTGGTGGTACAAATGTCAATGCTACCCTCTCAGTTCATCCCATCTTCTCCCTACCCCCTCTGTGTCTACAAGTCCATACACATGCGAGAGATCTTTTCCTGCTCTCAGGGTGACAAAAGGGAGGGTCAGAGTCCCTCTTGTTAAGGGCCAAGTGTCCTTCTTGGTCATTTCTTAAAAAACTTTAATTCAAAATAATCAGTATGCCATTGAGGCACATTTGGGTGCAGCCTACTCTGGGCCCGACCGTTACAGGCACCTTGGGGAGTAAAAAGCTGTACTGTCACTGTCGTACTCTTACAGTGAAAGATACTAAGAGAAGTTTAGGCAGAAGCCTGAGGTTGCGCAGCTCCCAAACTTGGCCCCAGGACACCAGCCCCCAGGCAGGCAGACTCCAGAACCTGTGAGTGTTCGCTGGGAAGATAAGAGCAGTCTCCCTCGGGCTTCTGTCCCTGCTCTCGTGGCCCCTTTGGGCCTTGTCAGCCAATTGAATATTGAGTGTCAGACCCAACTAGTGATCCAGCTATCGCCAACTTGGGCCTCACTTCTTAAAAATAAGTGTTTCATCCAGCCCAGCCCTGAGATTTAATAGCCAATGTTGTACGCACGTTAAACACCGAATGATTGTTAACATGTTTATCGAAGCTTAACAGGCATCCAGTATACAAAAGCTGACTCTCTTCTACGGCTGTCAGACCTCAACAAACATGTTTGATAATTAATTGGCATTAAGCAAACATAATTGTGTGATTCTAAATTAAGTGTTCGGCGAAGCGTACTGTGAATGGGGAACCACAGTGGTGTTTTATTACTTAAAGTTCAGGCTGTCAATCTGGCTTTTCACATACAAGGAAAAGCATCCTGCTTTCAAAGCCATGTGGCATGCCGGTTGCCTCATGCAAAAAAAAAAAAAAGCACAGGCCTTCCTCTTCCTAGACTCTTTGACCTGAAAGTGTTTCTTACTTGGTTAGTTGTTTGTCTTTCATTCACTTGGGGTTCCGAAAGTCCTGAGTCAAGAATTTGTATTTTCATGTTATCAGCTTTCAGGTGAATTAACCAGTTCTGACATGAACTCCATTCTCCCCCCAGTATAATAGCAAGTAACCAATGCTTGACACTTGCTGTAGTTACATTGTCTAAAATCACTGCAAACACTGATTTAGGGAATACAGAACCATTGTTCCTAGGGGAAATAGGAGATTAGGTTCCTCTGAGCCTCTCATCACAACACTTTTGTCACCTGATCAGTATATGTTTTACATGTTTCTGTTTAAAATAACTTTATTTAACTTACATTGTTCATTCTTTTTCATTGAACTCACAGCCAATAGCACTGTAACTCATGCCTGGATGAAACTTATCTAACACACAGATATTCTCTGCAAGGCACATCATGGCCTCTTGTGCTCAGAAACACCAAACAACACTCCAGCACAGCTCAGCAGGGCCTTCTTAAACAGCAAAACAGCGAGAGGAAGTACAAAAATGTGAGGGAAGAAAAGGGGCACAAATGAGACCATGAAAATGACACTTGTTTATAATATGAGCTGAAACAAGAAAGCATAATGATCTTAGCTGGGAGCTTTCCTGTGGGACACTTCCATTGTTTGCAACTCCGCATTTGTCTGCCCATATCCACCTATAAGGGCTTCCCAGGTGGCTCAGAGGTAAAGAATCTGCCTGCCAACGCAAGAGATAACAGGTTTGATTCCTGGGTTGGGAAGATCCCCTGGAGGAGAAAATGGCAACCCACTCCAATATTCTTGCCTGGGAAATCCCATGGACAGAGGAGTCTAGTGGGCTACAGTCCATGGGGTCACAAAGAGTCAGACATGACTTAATGACTGAGCATGCGAGCATCCACCCATGCAAAGGCACCATGAATGCTGAGTCCAAGGCTACAAGTAAATTTGCTTTATGCAGGTACACAAAGACAAAATGCTTGAGTTTTGAAATGAGAATTCCATCAAACATGGCCATCTGTATACTAAGTGCTATGTATCCTCTGCTAGCCCTTTGTACAGGCTGCTCCACCTGCCTGTAACATTGTCTGCTGATCCTCATGATGCTTTTCCTCACAGTAGTTGCACAATAAATATTTGTGCAGTTCAGCTGACTAGTTTTCAAATAAGGACCCCAAATATGTCATAGCCTAAAGGTCAAGAATGTGGGAGATTGCCCATCTTAGCAGATTCTTTGCAACGTTGTGTTATCATTTTTTTAATCTTTGCTAAGTTTAAAAGAGACCCAGAGTTTTTTCCCTCACTGCAGTAGGGCTACACAGGATATCCATCTTCAGATGCCCAGCCCTGTGTTCCCATTAAGCTTATAGGTGAATGTGTGGACATGTGTGTTTAGGCATGCCTGTACAGAATACAATATGAATTTTTTTAAATTGAATTAATGATATTCGTAAGAAATTTCTTTGTCTTGTGTCCTTCCCCAGTATTTCTTGAAATATCTTTTCTTCCAACACTTTCTGCCTAAGTAGGCTTGGGGTTTTGTTGAGATCTATTCATTTTAACTCTCTTTCCCTCTCCCTCTTCTTTTTCTACCAATGGAAAACGCAGCTGTTGAGGATGACAATTGCCAAACAGAGGCTGGGAGACGAAGAAATCGGCGTGCGGCACTTCGCGGCCCATGAGCGTGAGGATTTGGTTCTGCAGCTGGAGAGAGCAAAGGAACAGGTTGTCATCAGCATCTGTTCAGGGTGGGGGGGGGGGGTGGTGTTTGCACAGCTGGGCACAACACAAGGAAGAGTAGACTGTGCCCCGTTTCTCCGAGAGTGTGAGGTGCCTGGGATGTGGTCAGAGGAGGAAGAAGGATGCAGTTTGAATGCATTTACTCACTCCGTTCTCTGCTGAGTTCTCAAGCAAGCTCTTCTGTTTTTGGCTTCTGGCAGATCTGCCGTCTTACTTTGAGTGTCATTGTTCTGAACATAAAGAGACATCCCCCATGCCCAGGATAGACAGGGAGCGAACAAACGTGACAAACTGGCCTTAATTTGCAAGTTTCAGCTGAAATACTGAGTGATGCTTTTTAGTCTAAATCTCATCGGGTACCAAGCCCTCGTTAGGGAGCAGCTTAGAGAGCCTCGACTTTGTTTTTCTTCTCTTACCAAGTGATTTTGAAGAACAGAACAAGATTTCTGGGTCTAGAGTGGTTTGAAAAAGTATGTCGTTGTAAGACACTGTTATTACCAGTGTCTGGATTTGCCCTCTCTGAGCCTCTGGCTTTAGGGCAGGCTGCAGCTGGTAAGCCAGGTCTGTGGTTCCAAGCTGCCATGTCTGTCTCATCTTGGATACAGTAAGTGACTGGCTAGAAGTCATCTCCTTGTTTTTAGCTTTCATCATAGTCCAGTGTGTGGCACTTATGGTTTTATGGAAGGTGGCTGGCATTAATAAGCTCTCTAAAAGTCAGTCAGCAAAATAGAAGATTCCCTCTCTAACCCTAAAGCCAGTGCCTGCAGAACTCCTTAAGTAAGGGTGCTTCCTTTGATTTCAGATTGAGTCTCTGGAGCATGACCTGCAGGCCTCTGTGGATGAGCTTCAGGATGTTAAAGAAGAGCGGTCTTCCTACCAGGACAAGGTCGAGAGGCTCAACCAGGAGCTGAACCACATCCTGAGCGGCCACGAGAACCGTATCATTGATGTGGACGCCTTGTGTATGGAGAACAGGCAAGTGCCCAGGCCCTGGCCTGTGGTCATAGGGTGCTGGCCCTCCACTTGCCTGAAGGCTGGCAGTTATTTGCAGCCCTATTTACATTTGACAAAATTGCCTTACAATGAAAGGAAGGTCCTAACTCTAAAGCAAGGATATTAATGTCGCCCATTAGTTGTAAAAGTAAGAAAAGAACAACCAAATGCTTACAAGCTATATACGTACAGTCTTTCCCTGCCTTCTCCGATTGGGTGAGAAGGGTAGGGAACAGTGAAAGCTGCTTGTTATTGCTATCAAGAAGACAGAAAAGAATAAGAAAATAAATTGAGGAATTCCCTTAGCTGTTTCTTTTCCTGGAGGCAAATTTCCGTGTGTGTATGGGACTAACTTAACAGCGTGTCTGGTGTTGCCTCTTCCTGCTTTGCTTCCCAGTGGAATCACCTTAATGAGAATTATTTGAAAACTGTGCTGATAGCCCTTCGGGGATCTCTGCAGAGGGCTGTTCTGAAGTGAGGTTTAGGTGACCTGGGAATATTTGACCTTCACCATATCCATTTAAGAAGAGGTCACCAAGATGCACTTTACCTCTTTTCGGTGGTGGGAAGGCATTATATGTAAAAGGTGGTTCTTCAGGTGTCTGGTTTTCCTTTTTTCCCCTTATGTTTGAGTGTATGATTTTTATTTTGCTCCCAAACTCTTTCTAGTTGTATGTGTTCTTTTCTAGGTACCTTCAGGAGAGATTAAAGCAACTTCATGAAGAGGTCAACCTCTTAAAATCTAACATTGCCAAATACAAGGTAGAAAATTATGACAGTGACGGTGATGATTCACTATTGTACATCTAAATGTCATTCTATTTTAATTCTGTTTTATGTGCCAAAGATATTCTAGTGCTTGCCTGCCCTCCAGATAGTTCAAGAAGAGCTTAAACTGAGGAACGAGTGAGAATTAAGCCCCCAAATAGCAAACACAACAAAAACAGGTTTTGCAAGAGCTCCTTCTGTTACCTGAATAGGGCACACAGACCACCAGAATCTGGACGCAACCACTTCACAGCCTCGGTCTACACTAACTTGGATTTCCTCTCCAGCTTTTCTGTACAGAAAGCTTTTTGTTGTTATTGTTATCAGATGATCTTTGTCTCCTAATCATCCATGAGAAAATGATTTCTGAGTGATGAAGAAACAAAGATTGGGAAATCACAATCTAAATGATAATGTTCACGTCATACTGAAAGGATAGAATGTTTAAATTCTCCCCACTGTTATTTAGTCTAACTCCAGCACCATTAGTTCGATAATATCTATTTCTGCAGATGTTAGTTGTAAGTGTTATAATTAGCAAAATCTCCTGGGTTTCTCTGCTTCGAAAATAGATTGACTTCTCTTCCTGAGGGTGAAGTTTTACAGCCGTCTAGATGCTGGGGAGAGCCATCTCATTTTCCTTACTTTTGACGTTTGCTTTTTTCTCGGAAGTCTCTATGCTGTCCTTCCTTTTCCATTCTGTGGGAGCCACGCTTGAGTTTATACCCGTCTATATATACACATAGCTCTTAACATTGTATAATTAATATATAATTTAAAAAACGTGTGTATGCATTCACTTAACAACATTTATTCAGTTCTTCCACGAAAGTTAAACCCAGCCTCTATCTCATGTCTGTTTGGAAGGGGTTTCCATAACTAGTGACTTCACACATTAGACTGAGTTCTTGTTTCAGATTTGATTTAATTTAACGCATATGCAGTGAGTATCTTCCATATACAGGAGGATGTAATTGCTGTAATTACGCCGGGCACCAACTGAAAAAAAAAACAACCACAACTCTTGACCAGGTCCGTAAAAATCAGAACTCTTTGCAAGGACTCTGAGTTGTGGAAGTCAGGCCAGCATTTAGAGTTTGCAGAGAGTTCTTGTGCGCTGGAGGGGAGGATGCATCTAGCAGAATTAGGTATTTTTCCTTTACTGGCTTTTCTGACAGAGGTCTTTGTTTTCTCCCAATGCTGCTTTAGAACGCTCTTGAGAGACGGAAAAACTCAAAAGGCCAGAGCAAATCCAGCAGCAGTGCTCTGACTGGGGTCCTGTCTGCAAAGCAAGGTAGGGGTCGTTTTCCGGGAGGGACCATGAGTGATTACACAACGCTGGTGCTGTGGGTCCACTTCTCCATCTGTGAATTAGGAACCACAGTGATCCTTAGAGTGTGCGTGCCGGCATCCTAGGTTACTTCAGTCGTGTCCAACTCTGTGCGACCCCATGGTCTATAGCCCGCCAGGCTCCCTCTGTCCATGTTGATTCTCCAGGCAAGAATACTGGAGTGGGTTGCCATGCCCTTCTTCAGGGGATCTCCCCAACCCAGAGCTCAAACCTGTGTCTCTTACATCTCCTGTATTGGCAGGTGGATTCTTTATCACCAGCACCACTTGGGAAGCCCAATCCTTAGAGTGGTCACCCCCAAACCTCCCCCTGCATCAGCATTGCCTGGAGGGCTTACTAAAACACAGGTTACAGGGCCCCACCTGAGAGTTTCCAATTTAGTGGGCCTAGGGTAAGCCCAGAAAGTGTGCATTTCTCAAAAGTTGCCAGCTGATGCAATGCTGGTTTGGGTACCCTGCTGGGAAAGCTGCTGCATTAGAGGTTTCTCCAATAACTGAAGCCCATCTGCATCTGTTCATCTAACTGTACTCTCCTTTCTGGAATGTTTTCCCTTCTGTAATCACCAGGTCAGCATCCCCGAGTGTCTATTCCATCCTCATTGAGTTTCTCCTTTCCTTGGCCTCTGTGATCAGACTAGAAAACTCTCCTAGCTACTGAAATCATTTTATCATGGCACGCATGCCTTTTTTCAAAGAAGTTTTTATTGATTGCAATCTTGTTCCTCCTTCTTGGCGATTCCGATGAAAAATAATGATCTTCCATGAACAGTCAGGGGAATAAATAGCAGAGCGCTTGCTTCTGACACTTAATATTTGGGGATTCAGTTTTAAACGTGAGCCTCAAGTGGACCGTGCTGGGCTGGCCTGTTTTGGGCTTGTTGGCAATGCAGACCAGCAAGGATCACGTGGTAGTCCTCATAAGAGCTATGGTGAATTAAAAAAAAAAAAAGTGCTGAATTCAGCCTGCCTAATAATCAAGGCACTTTTCCAAGCAACCCCTTTTTTTCCCCCTCAACTAGAAAAGGACACCCTAGAATTATTTTTAAAAAGAAAACTATAGTACTACAGTACTCGATAGAAATGTGGAGTAGCCCATCTAAGAACAGCTGTGTATACCCTTGATAGCCAAACATCTCTGAATGTTGAGACCCAGTCCTGTCACTGTTGTGGGGAATGCCAGCCAAGCTCAAGCACCCTGGCAGAGCAGTCAGCCAGCCAAACCTTTCTAGAGAACCATTTGGCAATCTGTTACAAAAAGCCTTCAACCAATCCCCTTTTAGCCAATAAGAAATGATTACAGACATATGCAAGCACTTGGCTTCAAGAAAGTTCTTCTTCATTAATTATAGGAAAAAAACATTGGAAACAATATAAATGTCCAGAATAATTAAATAAATTACCAATCCCTGATATCTCAGTTGGTAAAGAATCTGCCTGCAATGCAGGAGACCCCAGTTCAATTCCCCAGGGAAGATCCTCTGGAGCAGGCATAGGCTACCCACTGCAGTATTCTTGGGCTTCCTGGTGGCTCAGCTGATAAAGAATCTGCCTGCAATCCGGGAGACCTGGGTTTGATCCCTGGGTTGGGAAGATCCCCTAGAGAAGGGAAAGGCTACCTACTCCAGTATTCTGGCCTGGAGAATTCCATGGACTGTATAGTCCACGGGGTTACAAAGAATCGGACACGACTGAGCGACTTTCACTTTCACATGCATGGGCTACTAAGCAGCCATCACATTTTATTCATTTATTTGGCTGCACCAGGTCTTAGTTGCAGCATGTGGGATCTAATTCCCTGACCAGGGATCGAACCTGGGCCCCCTGCATTGGGAGCTCAGAGTCTTAACCACTGGGCCAGCAGGGAAGTCCCAAGCCATCACATTTTATATTTTAGTAGATATTCATGATGAGACATAAGGTTAAGTGAAGAAAAGCAGAGCTTTTTCCCATTTTTGAAGAGAAATGTGTGAACTTGTATGTCTACATATAGGCATATAGGAAATGGTATTCAAAGATATATAATGAGAGATTTGTATTATTCCTTTTTTCTCCCTGTCTTGTAGGAATACAAGTGGTGGTTGTTTTTTGGGTTTATCTCGTACTTTTGAAAGACATGGAATACAAAATATATTTTGTATTCTAAATAATCTCTTACAGTATCTCACCACCCACTGAGGGTATCACCCCCGAGGACACCACCCACCAAGGGTACACCATAAGAAGCTATAATATAAACCAGGAGCTCAGGACTAGAGTTATTGTCATTTGCATGGCTGTGTGGCTCTCAGCTGGGTTTCCCTGGTGGCTCAGCTGGTAAAGAACCCACCTGCCAATGAAGGAGACACAAATGACACAGGTTCAATCCTTGGGTTGGGACGATTCCTTGGAGAAGGAAATGAAAACCCACTCCAGTATTCTTGCCTGGAGAATTCCATGGACAGAGGAGCCTGGTGGGCTATAGTCCATGGGGCCACAAAGAGTTGAACACAGCTGAGCACACATATGCACACAGCCCAGTTCTCAGCGTAATGCTAGGCATATAACAGGCAGATACTCAAGAAAGAGTGAAGGAGGGTGGCTGAATGAATAGACCTCAAAGAAGGTAACCTTCAGCTAATGGTTTTAATCCATCAGCACTTTGCTGTTTTGTCCGTGAAATGGGAATAAATAACATTCTCCAGGTTCTTTTTTAAATTTGAAGGCTCAAATGAATTAGTCAGTATGAGCATTTTGGAGTATAAAATACTAGACAAATGCAAAAGATTTTAACCTTTAAAAAAAATGTTGCAAAAGTCCACAGGGACGCCTCCTTTCTGTTTAACCCTCACACTGAATTTTATTTCATTTTACTTTTGGCACTTGAAGTGGATTCTTCAATTACAACACAGTAGCATATAGAAGCCAGGAATTGATCCCAGCTTCGTTGTCCAGGAAGAAGTAACATTGGTTTGCATTTGATCATTCCAGAAGGATTTAAGACTGAGTTGTACATTTTATATCCGTCCTAGTTCAGGATCTGTTATCTGAGGATCACGGGTGCAGTCTCCCAGCTACTCCACAGTCCATTTCTGATCTGAAATCTCTGGCAACAGCCCTGTTGGAGACAATCCATGAGAAAAACATGGTCATCCAGCACCAGAGGCAGACCAACAAGTAGGTGGCCAGACCCTTGGGTGCAGGGTGGGCGGGAGATCAGTGGGACGATGGCTGTCAGCAGGCAACCAGGTGGCAACTAGGTGGCCTGCAAGTCTGAAGGGAAGGAGAGGAGAACCCTCGAATCTAGAGGGAAATTTACCTGGACCAACAAGGAGAGAATACTGGCTATTCCTCACTGAATGCTTATTCTGAGCCACTCACCAAGCCATGCATATTGCCCAGCTGAATTTTGATGGTATACATGCCTGGGGAACTTAACCTACTGTCCTCAAGTCTCCTCTAGGGGAGACACCTCCTCATGCCATTTTAACCTCATGGCACGGCTTTCTGGGGCTCTGAGAGTAGAAACACCCAAGCATCAACTTACAAGCCTATGGGGCCTGGAACGGAGTCTCATGCCATTTTTCCAAATCAACAACAACAACAAAAAGACGGTGAAAAGGAACAATAGCTAAAAGAGCATGTCTTCTTCTGTTACTATAAACATGTTAACTACATTGGACAAAAAATCAAACAAGTTAAAATGGCATGTAGAGGTGACAGACGCAAAATCGGAAGTGTTCAGAGAATGGTGCCTAAACCATATATCAAAGCCACAAAGGTTGCAAATAGAGCCAGCTTCAAGGACCATCGCCTCATGCAGTCACACACAGCCCAGTGCTCAGAAGGTCCCTGCACTTGGTCTAATTCTCTGTAGTCACTATCTTCAAATTCTTGATCGTTTTTTAACAAGAGGGTCCCGAGGTTTCATTTTGCACTGGGCCCTGCAAATTACATAGCTGGTCCTGCTTTTATGACCTACGCGTGGAAGCAAAATTTAAGTGTGCTGTGTAGGAGCAGCTTCCCAAAGACTGGGCTTCCAGCAAGAACGGGGAGCAGTCAGGGAACTGGGGGCCTGGCGGGGTGGGGTTTTGCAAGGAGAGAGGCAACCGTGAAATGATGGAGAGTATTGTAAAAACAAAATAGCAAAAAGAGAGGCCGGGAGTGAAGGGAAGATAGCGCAGGAGATTAAGATATATATAAAAGAAGGCGAAGAGCAGTGGAGGGAGTCTGGGCAATCTCAGAGGGATGACAAGGGTGATTTATTGACGGAAGAAGTTTTTTAAAATTCTTTTAAAAGCAATATTAACCAAGGACTGAAACAGCCAGATGCTAAAATGGAGATGCTCCTCAGGGGAGGACAAAGAAATGGGGATCTCCTCAAATAGGTACGAGGTCTGTTTTACTCCGCAGCTGGTAGTGGTCCCAGGAGCCTTCTCTGTCCTCACCAGCTCCCTATGAAGCATCCACAGGGGCTCTTTCAAGCCTCCTCGGGTCTTCTCAACCCTCATTTGTTCTCAGCAGGTAACCTCAGCTTCTCTTTTACTGAGAAATCAAAGCCTGCCTGTGAAGAGCCCGGAGGCTCACTGCTCCCCAGTGTCTTCCACCCTCTCCGTCTGGTCTCTGGGAAACACACTGACCTGCCAACCTATTGGTCCTCACCCTCCTCGCTTCTCTGGGGCCTGGCTCTCCTGTGACCTCCTCTTTCAACCTTTTCAGTTTCTGCCCCTCCTGCTGCTTATGCATCTTCACCCAGAAACTTCCCAGATCTTCTTAAACATCCGCCCCCAAAGGGTTCCCGTGAATTCCTTTCACCTCCAGTCTTTGTGAACAAGAGGCCACCTTTACTTCTTCATCAACCACCTCCCAAATGTGTGTTCTGCGGGGGGGCACCTATGGTAGAATTACTTGAAGGGGGTGATTGTTTAGAAATGCAGATTTGGGGGGGTTCTGGAAGGAATGTCGGGATTCTGAATTTTAGCAGGTGCCCAGTGATGCCAGGGGCAGGCTTGAATACCTCCCAAGACCTCTTCTGAATTTTCCGTAGCAATCTTCCTGTGAGGGTCACCAGTACCCCCAAACCTTACTTTCTGAGTCTCTTTCTTCTATGATTGCTCTTCATCCCAATTCTCATCTTGAAAACCACCTTCTTGGATTCCTTCTGCTCTCTCTGCTGCCTCATTCCCTCTCCCTTCTCCTCTTCCCCTCCTTCCACCCCAGGCCTCTTCCTCCTCTTCCTGTCTTCTCTGATCTTCCATCCTCTTACCCCCACTCAGAGGACCTGTCTTTGCTTCCTGTAATCTGCAGACCCTTCTTAGAACTCTTGTCACCTTGCCGTCAAGAGCAAGACCCACATTTCTGGCTGCTCAGTACAGTTTCTCCTGAATTTCAGCTCCTCAGGTTCAATGAGTCTAGAGTCTGGAGCACCCATTCCTTAGTGTGTTTTAATATCCTTTAAAATGCTTGTGCCCTTTGACCCAAAGGGTCAGTTTCTAGAAATGTATCTGAAAGAAACAAATCAGAACGATGCTCTAAGATTTATCCATGAGGTGGTTCACTGTAGATTCATTTATAAGAGTGGAAACAACAAGAAAAAGGGTGGAAACAACCAGAATATTTTTAAATTGGAGAACGGTAGCATGTGTACATGCTAAGTCGCTTCAGTCGTGTCCAACTTTTTGTGACCCTGTGGACCTTAGCCCACCAGGCTCCTCTGTCCATGAAATTTTCCTGGCAAGGATAGTGGAGTGGACTGCCATGCCCTCCTCCAGGGGATCTTCCAGACCCAAGGATCGAAGCTGCATTTCCTGTGGCTCCTGCATGGCAGGTGAATTCTTTACTGCTGGGCCACTGGGGAAGTCCTGGAGAATGGTTATGATTATAGTAAATCCATAAGGCAGAATATTATGCAGCCCCTTAAAGTGTGACTTGAAGAATATTTAACATGTTCTGCCCACCATCCTAGTGCCTAGGTTTGATGAACTTCCACATCACTTGGGTTGCAGCTGTCCCAAGGCCAGAATGTTTGTCCATTTTGGTCACTGTTCTCTCCAGTATGTTGGACAGTGCTAGGCCCACAATGGTTGCTTATAATTATTTGATGATGAATGGATGATTGACTGGTCTAACCCTTTATTCCTCTTCCCTTAATACTCATGTGAAAATGGGCATTAAGTTTTACGGTTTTCAGGCATGTGTTCATTTACTCAGTATATATTTCCTGAATGCTTGCCAGGGCCCTTCTGTGTTCATCTCCTACCTGCTCCCTCTGCTTGCTCCCCACCAGACCATTCATTATCTTGTCCTTAGGAAGATCCTCCCATGAACCCTCTATCCTCAGACCCCCACCCACCTCCTCCGCTATTTACCTGGGCATGCTACCTGCCAACCTCGGTGCTGATCACAGTGCAAGCCTCCACCGAAAAGCCCCGCTGAGTCCCACCGCCTGCTAAACTCAGTGTTCCGAAGCTGCTGACTGACACTCCCACCTCCTATGCTGGACTGATTTCCTTATACATGCCCACCATACCCCACTGCAACCGCACACATCTCCAGGTTTCATGGACCCTCGCTTTCTATTGAGAAAGATAGACATTTTCATTTTGCAGGCTGTTTCTTTAATGCAGCCTTTTGTTTTTAACTGTTATTTAATCATTTTGAACCATCTGATTCAAATTTTAAAAGGTTAAACAACAATATATCTCCAAACCACTGTCTCTCAGCCACCCAATCCACCCTCCTGGAGGAAACCACTGTTCCTCATTTTTTATGTATCCTCTCCAAGGATACATATATAAGCAAATGTATAATGCATTTATATAGACACACATCAATACTCATATATCTTATATACATATAGATTTTCTTTTTTCTTTCTCTTTATTTTTTTGCAAATGGTAGCTAGTATTCATCAAAAAAAAGTTTTTTTCATTGTCTTCCACCTTGCTTTTTTCTCATAACAATAGGTCTTGAAGACTGCCTCATATCAGTACATTAAGTACCTAATGTGCCATTTTTAATACTTCGAGGGTCTTAAGTTTCATACTTTCAATAAATGTTTTATTTGGGGGTATGCAAAAAACAAATTATATAACAGATGGAGTGGGGGCTAAGAATAAACTGTGAATTTGGTCTGCTTGCTCTTATCCCCCTTGATTTAGCCTTTTGTAACTAATTTTAACAATGGCTTTGTTGAGGTGGAGCATTAGAAGTAGGAATGAATGCCGGTGTTCTGTTCTGTAAGAGTGTGCGCCCCCTACTGGTTTTCCACTGCCTGGCACTTACCCCTTCTACCCCTTGCCCATCCCCATCCTCCTGTCCCTTAAGGCAAAGAAGGCCCAATGGGAGCCATCTTAACAAACTGATGAATAAACCTTGGACTTTATAATTTGAGAGCATATTCGATTAATAAGCATTTTGCTTGAGGTACTTGTTGCGAGTTTGCAGCTGTCCAGCTATTATAAAAGAAGGGATGGGGTTCGTGTGTCTTACAAACAGGTTAATGATGAAGAGGCAAATATTAAGAGCATGTCTCATGGAACACCACCTTCTGTTCTCCAGCCCTTCCCAACGAGCCCTCGCTCCGCCAGGGGTGGGGTGCTGGCAGCAGTGGTTTAGACATGAGGTCATCCTGGCCTTTCACCACCCTATGTGCTTTGCCTAAAACTCTTGACTGCTCTCTCCCTTTCCTGGCCAATGGTAAGTAGCCTGGAAGTTCAAGATCTTGGAAGCAGCAGGAGCTGTCCTGGATCAGAGCAAAGATTCAAAAGAAGATCTCCTGGGGTGAAGGTGGGGGGCAAGGTTACCTGCAGTTTGTGTGGGGCCATTGCCAGCTCTTTCTCTTTAAAGGATCAGGCTCCCCCCAAGAGCCCTCACTCAAGATTCCTGCTTCCCACGTTGTCCAGAGAGAAAGGACAGAGGCAAAGTGGTCGCTAGTTCCTGAGTTAGTTCTGTCTTTTGCAGATTCCCTATGGGCTTCCCTGGTGGCTCAGAGATAGTAAAGAATCTGCCTACAATGCAGGAGACCTGGGTTCAATCCCTGGGTCGGGAAGATCCCCTGGAGAAGGGAATGGCTCCCCACTTCAGTATTCTTGCCTGAAGAATTCCATGGACAGAGGAGCCTGGCAGGCAACAGTCCATGGGGTCACAAAGAGTTGGACAAGATTAAGTGACTAACACACACATGGTGTTTTACTATCAGAAACCACTATTGAAAATCCTATCTAGAAGCCCAGTGTCTTGAAGTTTTTTCTAGACTACTAGGTAGAAATATGCTAAAATTTTCCCTATTCTAAAACAAGCCACAGCTAAATAAACACTTTATTTTAAACACCCCCCACCCCCGCATCTTACAAAGAAAAAAATCCTCTCTCAAGCCTGTTTATGCCTCAAGCTACTGCCCTGACTGTCTCCTTGGATTCTCTGCTAAACTACTTGAAGAGTCATCTATATTCACCGCTTCAGCTTTCTCATAGGCTGCTTTTCCAACCCTGTCACTTGGACTCTGGACTTCATCCCTTCCTCTGTCTTGTAACAGTTCTCTCAAGGGTCAGGCACACCGTCTCAGTGGCCTTTTTCATCCTGGGTGACCACCTTCTAGAATTAAGATGATACAGACTATGCCACCTGACCTGGAACCCTCTCTCCCTTCCCCACGTGGCCCTGGTGCTCCTGTTCCCTTTCCACCTGTGTTCCTCTGGTCCTTTCTCGCTTTACGCAGGTGGTGCTGTGGTCCCCAGTTCTTCTGACTTCTCTCTTCCTGTTGGAGAGTAGACCTGCCCCCAGCATACACTCTCATCCTTGCACTCCTGGATCTTCCTGTCTCCCCAAGATATCCATCTGTCTCCTCAGGTATCCCAAGATCACCTCCTCCTCTAACACTCTGTTCCTTTCGCTTCCTACATCCCCACTGGCTCTTGTGGGATATAGCTTCTCATCTTTGTTCCTTACAGCCTCAATAATTGTTGAATTGCTTGAACTTCACTGAACAGACCCTGTTTTTACTTCTACTGTCTCCGTGTGTCCTGCCAGCTATGAAGACTCTGATAAGCCTCTCCTCTCCCTGGGCTGTGTCACATCACTTTCAGTGGACCACCTGCTCTATCTGTTCAGTGTGAAGCCAACTAGAAGACCGTCTGTCATTTGAAGCATCTTAGGTTATATTTTACAGGTCCAGCTATGGCTGCATCCATATTCCAGTTATGTATAGTTTTAAAGAGAACTTGCTTTAGGCCTGTGAATACTGGTTTTCTAGTGTTATTAGGGTGTTATTGGTTAAGAACGTGCACTTGGGAGGCAAAGGTTAGTCTACCTGAGGCATAGGTTAAAAATCTATACTCGTCACCAGCTGAGTCCAACATGTGGTTTTAGTTATGCCGACTAGTTTCTATGCCTCTGTTTTCTAATGGGAGCAGAGGGTGCTGGGTGAGAACGCTGGGGGTTGGGAAAAAACAGATTTGAGATGAACTGTGTGTCTTTAGACAAACTGCTGAACCTCTCTGTTAGGGCCCACATGTATAAAAGGAGGATAAAAATACAGTCTACACTGTAGAGTTTCGTCAGGTCAGAGAAGAAAGTGTACTTTTGGTAGATGTTTGGCATGCACTCTGACTCAGACCTGGGATTCAGGAACGGTTAATTGCTGTTTGTGTTAACCATAGAATAGTTGTTATTGTTACTGATGATGTTATTGTTGCCATTACTACTACTGCAACTTCTAGTGGGTCCATTTTACTACCTCCAGCCCTGCAGCAGATGCCTGTGTCAGGCTAAAGAAAAAAGCAGTCAGCACCGACAAACTAAGGCAAGATCCCTGAGAGTAGATTGTTCCAGACACCAGCAGATTCACATCAGCACATTTCTGGGAGATGTGGCTGCGTAATCCAAGAACATCAGAAAAAATACAACCAAATTTCTCTTCACCACGCCTTTGAGCATTGCCCTGACGGCATCTTTCATTGAACACAGAAGAGTTAAGCCTTATCTTTTGTTTCCAAGAAGCAGCCACGTACAGGTGATCTGATCATTCTAAGAAGCAGGCATCAGCTTGAACACCAATGTGATTGCATCTCAAACCCATCAGCTGTTGAAAAGGGGGCTCGGATCAGAAGGTCTGAGCAAAATATTGAAAGCGAGATTACGAAGAAAAGTGTTTATTGAGGGGTCAGAGACATGAAAGCCAAATAGACCCAACAAATGGAGTGAAAATTGAAAGGAATTGATAAAGACTATGCAGAATTTAAGACTTAAGGAAAAGAAGAAAAGAAAAAAGCTCTAAGTATCTAGATGAACAAAACCACATAGAGTCACGTCAAAGAGTTTTCTGTGAACTCAAAGGGAATGTTGATTAAGAGTCTGCAAGTCAATTCAGGTAAAATGAGGATTCATTTGAAGCAATATACATATATGCAGATATATACATATTCAGATCTTGGTATGTATGTGGGTGTGTGCATCTATGTCTGGAATGCAAAGAAGTATAGAAGAACAATTCTGGCATTCTGGTTTCTCCTGCTGAAAGAATTTGGGACATTGCTATTAAGGTGATTTCCACATCATTTTAACACAGCAGTGCCAAGAAAATCCCCCAAAGATAAAGACTGGTTTTTCAATTTCCAAGCCAATGAAAAGTGAGTGAAGTTTCAGATGACTATCACATCATTTCCCAACTATATTTAATTTTGTGTAGAGTGAAGGAGGGGAAATATGTGGCCACATTTAGGTCTCTTCATGCATAGAGACAAAGTTTGGCTTCCAAGTAGACAGAGTAATCTGTTAAAATACACATTCAAGATCTTATACATCATAGTGAATCAGAATAGTCATCTTGGAAAGCAGTGTAATTATTTTAGTGAGCCTATAATTTCTGAAAGTTTTTCAAATGCCTATTTTTAAATTCCAGAGATCATTACAAGCTATGAAAAAAAGGATTTATTTAATGAAATATATTTATTGAGCACCTACTATCTACCAAGTATTATGCTAGATATCAAGGATATGGCCATTTGTAAGCCATAGGTTAGGTCTAAGAAGGTGGATATTATCTTATTGACTCGAAGTAACATCACCAAGCATGTTCTTTCATCTTATTTGTTACACTGGTTACTTCTAAAACTCAGATCCACCCTCAAACAGTCAAGTTGTGATACTTGTAAGGGTATTCACAATTAAGTGTCATCTTTAGCCACGAGGAATTCCCAAACAGAAATGATGTAAGATGCCTGGGTAATGGTAGAATGATTGTTTGGCTTCCCAGCTACCTTTGTGGGAGAAGATTCACGTGAATGGCAACACTTTAGTAAGGTTTAAATCATTTTAAATCATTCACTTTATATTTTCATATGTACTTTCAGTAGAGTCTGTGTATGTTTAGCATGTGGGTGTGTGCTCACACACTCACACACACACTGTTTTTAGCATGTGTCTTAAGTCTCAAAACATTTTCTCTCTACTAGGGCATCACCAGCCTTCCCAGATAGCCTGCTCACAGCCCTGAGAGCTAATGAGACAGATGCTCATTGATCTGTCATTTGCCATTTTTCTCCCCTTTTCCAGAATCCTAGGGAATCGGGTGGCTGAACTGGAGAAAAAATTAAGAACTCTGGAAGTTTCTGGTTTGTGGAGTCTCCCAGGTAAGCAGAACTTTATAAAAATTTCTTTTTCTGAAAATTTGCAGAGCAGACTTTACCTTTTTAATGTTCTTTTATTTGAAGATTATTGCTGAGACGTGTACAAGTGTTTGAAATTAAAAGCCATCATTTTGGAGGAAATCGGAAAAAAACTAATAAATATACAAAGTGAACTATGAAGTTTGCTAATCTAAATTCTGAAATTGTCATTGTATATGTCTGTGTGTGTTATTTTTAACTTTTGTGAGTATGGTAAATTGCTTCATTTTTTCCCTGTAGGTGTCTTATAGAGATGTGTTCAGTTTAATCATCACCCCTAAAAAGGAATATAAGGACTCACAAAAATTTATTCTATTTAATCATTCATTCTAAAAATGAATGTACAAACCTACAAAGACATGTTCAATTTGATCATCAGTCTTAAAATTGAATATAAGAACCAACAATTGTTCTAACCCAAATGCTCTTTACAACCTTCTTCCCTCTTCCCTCATTCCATTTGCTACAAAGCTTGAAAATAAAAATTTCTGCTGTAGATTTTTTTTCCCCCGCAGTGGTGCAGGGTGTGAAGAAACTTGATGTTTCACATTAATTAGCTATATTTATCCCATTTGTCTTGGTAAAATACCCCCCTTCATGAGACCCCCATCAGCTTTCTTCTTTCTCTCTACATTCTCCAGAAACTTGTATTTATCATTTTCTACCACCTCCTCTTTCCCTGGAAGCAACTTTGTACATATATTTTTAGTTACTTAACCTTTCTGCACAAACCCTTCTCTACCCTTGAATCATATCCGTTGTTTCCTTATAATGTATGAGAAATGAACATTGCCACAGGGACATGGACAAAACCACATGTTTTCTTAATGTAAATCTGAATAGCCGCCTCAGGTTGTCTGGAAGTGTATTTCATAAATTGCAATTTTTAGTAGAGATTCCTTGAACTTGATGTCAGAAGACCTAACAGACCTAATTAGTGCCAAGTGCCATCCTGGGGATTTGAATGATCCATTTTGCACAAGAATCTTTTGATGCAGTTAAAACCTTATCTCCTTTGAAGGCCTTTCTTTTATTGCATTGAATTTCAACACAGTCAGGCAAATTTATCGTTTATTTGTGCAGTCGGATTGCTATTTCTGTGCATGTTCTAGCGTTTGGATTTTTTTTTTCTCTCCAAATGACTTAGTGAGATTTCACAATGTTTTATTTCTACAACTTATGTAAAAAGATGGAAGTCGAATAAATGAAAGAATGCTGAGAATTTCCTATCTCTGCTGTTGTTTGGTCTAGGTTAGAATGGCTATTATGCAATAACAATTGTTTCTTTCCTTTTTTGTTTTTTTTTTCTGCTGCTGCCTGAAGGCCTGAGCTACAATGTTTCCATAGGATTTGGGAGTATGTTCTTTTTGAAATATCTGTGTTTGTGGTTAATAGCAGTGCATTAATATCATCCCTGCATGTAAATAAATAGAAATGCATTCTCTTTGTATCCTTACACTTTTCTGATTAGAATAGTCAATTGAAATAGAGAATTCAATTAGCACAAAGCAAATATTAAATGGTAGCATTTGCTTGGAGGGCAGCGACTGAATGAATTTTATGCCCCAGCCTATTTGTTCTAATCTCTGGCTTCCACATGGGTACAAAGTGGGAGGATCGAAAAAAAGAATGGCAATTCCCCTGATCTGAGACCGTTTATGTGACTGTGATAGCATTGCCCTGATGCAGTAATAAAGGATGTTACAACGAGGCATCACCTCAGGTTCATTTTCAAACCATGGTCGGGGGAGAGGGGCCTCTTTCTGTGCAAATTAGACCAGTCCCTTCTATTTGCTCATTGTTGTATGGTCTCCATTTAAGCTCTAATAGCTGAGCGAGAGGAAGTATTTTATATTTTTTCTTCTCCTCTTCCTCTTCTTCCTTCCTCCTCTTATTTCCTCCACTTCCTTTTTCTCTTCTTCCACTTTTCTCTTCTTCCTCTTCCTCTTTCGCTAAGTAAGGGAATATTTACTATTTCAGCCAAGTAGAGGGGATTGAGACCCAGTGGTTTCAGAGAATTGCTAGCTCTCAGTTATTTGGCAGTCTTGAAAGGATCTGTGTTTCCTCTAACAGATCAGTCCATAACATGTTGATACTTTCTGAGTATCAACTTTGTGAATTCAGTCCTGTACCAGGCGTTCTAGACATGCCCCTTGCCCCCTCCAAGAATCAACAGTCCCACTGCTGCTGCTGCTAAGTTGCTTCAGTCGTGGTCCAACTCTGTGCGACCCCATAGACAGCAGCCCACCAGGCTCTGCCGTCCCTGGGATTCTCCAGGCAAGAATACTGGAGTGGGTTGCCATTCCCTTCTCCAATGCATACATGCATGCTAAGTCGCTTCAGTTATGTCCGACTCTATGCAACCCTATGGACAGCAGCCCACCAGGCTCCGCTGTCCACAGGATTCTCTAGGCAAGAATGCTGGAGTGGGTAGGAAAGTGTGATGAATATGTATCATGCAGTGAAAGGAAAACACAAAATGATACATAAGTGTCAATGAAGCAATAAAGATGATAATGTATGAGGGAATAATGTGACAAGTCATTGAATGCTGGACCTGGAATGACAGTTGAGAGCAAAAAGTTCAAGGATGACAAATACTTGGTATATATTACACAGCATCATTTCCGTGCCAGTGGCAGACATGGCTAATCAATCACATCGCCCTTCCATGCTAACCTCACATGTGGCCCTCAAAACGGTCTTTCACATTGGCTTTCCAGGAAGCTACCTCCTGGTCAGAGTTGACATGTGAGAGAAAACCTTCTTCCCTTTCATGAACTAGTCTGATCCCCTCATTTTAAGGAAACAGAAATTTCCATAAGGAAACAGAAATTCAAGAAGTTGGGTGATACTGTTATAGCCATGCTTTCCGGGAAACAAACTCACTCAGAAGGACAATACAGATAGTGGAGTGCAGTTTATTACACCGGCGGGCCCAAGGCAGAGTCTTCTCTTAGCCAAGGACCCCAACAGGCATTTGTGAAAATCTTTTATACCCCATGTGTACGTGTCCAAACCCACTACCCCAATTTCCTTGAGACTTACATAAACAAAGGAAGGGTAAATACAACTACAGTAACCCCATCGTTCACGTGTTATGTGTTCAAACAGTCAATAATCAATAAGCCCGCAGTTACATTCCAAACAGTTAATAATCAATAAGCTTGTGGTCACGTTCCAACCAGTTAATAATCGATAAGCCTGTGATTACATCCTGATAGATACGGAAAAAGTTTATGACCTGTCCGGAGACAGGGGTGATTATGGTATGTTTCCTCTTAGGCAATGAGTAACCTGGATGTGATCTTCAAGGTTCCCCTGTCCGGAGTGGGTCTAATCCTTCCATTGTCGTTCCCACAGGCACTAAGCAGAGAGTTCAGAGTCCACTGGAGAGGCAGCCGAGCATGATCAGCACAGATAGGCCTGAGATGGAGTCCTGGCCCTATGAATTCCTTCTTCAATACCTAAGGCCACAGAGGCTGAACTCAGGTGTTCAGATCTTCATTCCAGTGCTCCATCTGCACAGGGAAAGTATAGTTCAGGAAAGAGACACAGAAGGTAGGGGCTGGCCAGTGGGAGAGTGAGGAAGGGTGGGGAGTGTAGATCAGATCAGCTGGGGACTGGTTCTCAAAGCAAGCTGAGCTGGAGAAGAAACATTCAGAAGCTGGAACAATCTCTCCCAAGACTCTAAAGGACCGTGGTGAAGAAGGCCACCTCTCATGACTATAAGGCAGAATTTCTCTTGGCCTTGGAGCATGCTCTGATTTCTCTTTGACTCTCTTCTCCCTCCCTCCTCACTCTCTCAGCCAACAATATACAGCTCTTGGTGGGGTTGGATAGAGTTGGGGCAAATGTGTGATCTTGCCGGGAAGCAGGCAAGTCTGACAGATGTCACAGCCTGTGTGGAGAAATCATCTGGAAAGCAGCGAGTACTCCAGACTGTTTAGCAGGTCCCTGAGAGGTGGGGGAGATGCAGGGCTCTGTAGAGGAAGCCAGAGGCTGAGCTGGTGGACCTTGCTCCTCAGGACGGAATGGCCCTCCACTCTCCCCAGCCCCCTATCTGTCAGCCGCCTCTCCCAGTGGTTTGCTGGCATCTGCAGGTGAGAATGATGCTTGGAGCGGGCGGGGGGCAGGCGCTGAGAGAAGGTTTCCTGGATGTGCTCATGCTCTGAAAAGAAACACTGAAAACCAGAAAAAAAAAGTCTGGCAAGAGCAGAGCCTGGCTCTTTGAGCTTTTTATTTGAATTCTCTATTTTCCACTCTCAGTATCCGTCTGAGGAGGAAAATGTGCATTCTGAAAGTAACTGGCACATTTTGGAGAAAGGAAGGAGTGCTGTTATGTTATAGGGAATCAGGGGGGCTTCTGGAAACTCAAACACCAGTTGAACAGAAGGGCCTGTGTGACCTGTGTTGATTGTGGTTTGAATCTAGTTCGTAGATAGTGCACACCCCATCCCCCAGTCCCAAGGACCGAAATGGGGCTAGAAGACAGCAGACCATCAGATTAGAGTTCAATATAGTCAATACAGAGAGAGTCTGGGCTTAGAAACAACAGACCTGAGAGCCTTCTAAGGAGGGTCTTTGAAAATGTTTTGCAAAAACCAAATCTTGACATTTTAGCATCAGATAAGGAAGTAATCTTTGCAGGTGGGGATTTCGGAAGGTGTTTGTCTTCTCCTCCAACCCCTACTTGGTTAGATATGGATTAATTTATGGACAAATGGTGGTTTCTCTTTCCCTCGTCTGCATGCCTGTTGCTCAGATTCTTGCAGAAGTTTAGAGCTTCCCAGGTGGCTCAGTGGTAACGAATCTACCTGCCAATACAGGAGATGCGAGAGATACAGGTTTGATTCCTGGGCTGAGAAGATCCCTTGCAGGAGGCATGGCAGCTCACTCCAGTATTCTTGCCTGGAGAACTCCATGGACCGAAAAGCCTGGTAGGCTACAGTCTGTGGGGTCACAAAGAGTCAGACATGACTGAGCACACCCACACACACACACCCCAGCATTTCTGAGGAGCCGTTGTGGAGTGGATAATTCACTGTGATTGAAGAGGGCCAGGGAGTCATTCCTCACAATAGGAAGGCTCGAGACTCTCCCTCCTACTGCCTTTACTCACTCGGCTGCAGCCAGCCCCCAGCTCCGCCCACATTCTGATTCCTCGACCACAGGACAGAGTGGACTTGGAAGGCTTGTTGGGGCAGAGGATAGAGTGTGCTTCTGCTGCCCGCGTGTCTGCTGGGAAGATGGAACAGGAATTGCAATTCTTCCCCTAGCTTAGGACAGCGACTGTTGCCTTGTTGAAGAGAAACAAAAGGAGCCCACCTGAGACATCTGGTATGGCTTCGTAACAATCATTATTTCCTCATGGTGTTCCCAGATTGTATCTTTGCAACACAAGGGGAGACCTGACTGGATCGACTTTGGCCTGTTGTTGTTCAGTTGCTCAGTTGTATCTGACTCTTTGCACCCCTATGGATTGCAGCACGCCAGGCTTCCCTGTCTGTCACCAGCTCGTGGAGCTGACTCAAACTCAAGTGCATCGAGTCAGTGATGCCATCTCATCCTCCGTCATCCCCTTCTCCTCCTGCCTTCAATCTTTCCCAGCATCAGGGTCTTTTCCAGTGAGTCAGTTCTTCATATCAGGTGGCCAAAGTATTGGAGTTTCAGCTTCAGCATCAGTCCTTCCAATGAATATTCAGGATTGATTTCCTTTAGGGTGAACTGGTTGGATCTCCTTGCAGTCCAAAGGACTCTCAAGTGTCTTCTCCAACACCCAAAGCATCAATTCTTTGCCACTCAGCTTTCTTTATAGTCCAACTCCACATCCCTACATGACTACTGGAAAAACCATACCTTTGACTGGACGGACCTTTATTAGCAAAATGATGTCTGTGCTTTTTAATACACTCTCTAGGTTTGTCATAGCTTCATCCTGAGAGCCTCTTAAAATATCCAGAGCTTCAGTTCAGTGGTTCTCCTTGGGAAACCTCTCCAGATTGTGGTCCTAAAGATTCTGGATTTCTTTCAACTTGAGACAATATCTGTACTTGTGGAGAACTTCAGGGTCAGTTCCTATCAGATTTCTCTTCTTCTGGGATGACCCTCATGAAGCAGAAACCTAAGAGTGATGGCTACTAATAACAAGCTCCATCTGCCTGAGGCAGCTGCAGGCATCCATACCCACCAATTAAACATCAGGATTCCTAAGAATGCATCAACCATTTATTCACAGTTATCAGCTGTTAACTCTCTACTAGTCTTGGAAATCAAGTTAATAAGATTACATGCATGGCCAACAGGGAGGGTGGTATTATAAACAAGTTAAGGGCTTGGTATTATAAACAAGGTACAGGCCAAGGTTTATCTCATTCTCCAAGGCAGTGGACATCTTGACCCAAATACCATTCTGTGCTCCACCAAACCTGAGTAGAATCATAGAAATTTAGAGCCTCTGATTTGAGCCCCAGAGACATTCAGTGACTTGGCTTCAGATAAGGTTTCATTCAAAGTCAGACAGCTGAGGCTGGAGCATGGGCTGGGCCATGGCCCTGGGGTTCACTGTGGGCATGGTGGTACCCACCAAGAGAATCTTCAAGGTTCATGGGCAGGAGCTGGAGATCAAATCCTCCCTCACCTGACCACGGGGCAGCATCACCTTCTGTGCACGTGTTTTGTGTCCATGTGCCTATGCTCATCAAGCTCACATTTCAAAGCCACACCTCCCTGCTCCTCACCTTCATACCTTGCCATGGCCTCAAAAATAAGAGTTGTAATGGTTTCCCTTTCCTCTTCCTCTTCATCTCAGGCTTTCTCTGCCCACTTAGGGAGCTCATATGAATTGATAAAAGGGTTTGGCTGGGATGTGTCTTTATATCCTAAATAGAGTCTAGCTGTGATCATTTGGGGAACCTGATACTACCTGCCTTATGACATACTTGTGATTCAATTTAAATGACCAGATCTAATTAAATCAGACCCAGTGTGTATGGCAGTTCTACCCATACCATAAAACAGTCATTTAAATATGTGAAATTCCTTGAGTGCTGACGAAATGCCTCAGTGTTTTCCGTGCATCAGTTCATTTTATCACCACCACCCCCTGAGGTGGCTGCTGTTATTCTTCCTCACTTCACAGATGAGGGCTCTGAGGCTCAGAGAGGCTCAGTGACGTGTCCAAGGTCACCCAGCTAGCAAGTGATGGGCTCCAGGACATAAGCACTACAGCAGGGCTCCAGAGCCTGCACTCAGAGCGCGCTACTGCTCTTGTTAGTGTTGCTATTGTCTCACCCGGATGAAAGCCGTTCCGTTTCTGACAGACACAGCATGCTGCCCTTTAACAGTGGCATTTGTGGGCATCTGTGTTCTGAGCAGACTTCAGAACTCATAGGCAGCTGGCCCTGGACCCCTCTGCCCTGCCTTCACTGTGGAGAGGGTAGGTTGCCCCTTCTCCACCATGGCACTGTCTATGATTGAAGAAGGAGCGCCCCTTGGGTGGGCTGAGTGTGGCCACCACTCCAGTGGTGACATAATATGTCCATTTTCCTCTTTTCTGTGACAGGGGGCAAAGACACCATACTGTTCAGTGACCCCACTCTTCCCACCATGCAGAGGTCAAGATCCCCACTGCTCAAGTTCGTGGAGCAGCCCGCTGAAAACAAAGCAAGTCCCAAGGATGGTAAGCAAGCCCTTGATTTCTTGACTGTTTCCTGGCCTGTGCCTGGTGCAGGGGATTAGTGGACACCAGTCCTTCACCTTTCTGCAGCATCTGCAGCACTTTTGGGTCATCCCTCGTGCTTCCCCTTATTTGGAGCTTCCAGCAGGAGAACACTGGTTCCTGCACTCTCAGTGTAGTAGAAAGAGTGAGGGTGCAGGATTTAAGCAACCTGGGTTCATACTCCAGCCTCACATCACACTGGTAGTGAGCACTTGGACTGATAACTTCAGCTTCAGTTTCCTTTCCTATAAGACAGTGAGATGAGACACTGCCAACCTCAGGGAAGTCTTGACACGTTGCCTGACATGTGGTAAGTAGTCTGGGAATCAGGTGAATGAAGGAAAAATCTTCCTTACCAGGCACATTTTCTGGAGGCAGTGTGTTTTAAAGGAGATCAAGGGCCCATTTAAGGTGCCAGGTGAAGCAACGAGGTTAGAACCAGATCTCTTTCCAGGTGGTAGTCTTATTTCTTTAGCTAAACTATCCTTCACATCTTGCTGAGTTTTGCTCAGCTTCTTCCTCCACCCCCAATGTGGTTGCCAGCTTCCAAGATGGCCCCAAATGATCCCCACTTCCTGGCATTCATGCCCTTGTATAGTTCTTTCCCACATTGGTCTATGTGACTGGTGGATTACAACATAAGTGATGGTACATGACTTCTGAGGTCAAGTTATAAAAGGCACATGGTCTGTCTTGCAATCTCTGACTTGGATCACTCACCGTAGAGAAAGCTGGGTGCCATGTCACAAAGATTCTTGAGCATCCCCACATGCTCCTCGTGTGGCCTGGAACTGAGGCCTCCAGCCATCAGCCACATGAGTGCACCATCTTGGAAGCAGATTCTCTAGCCCCAGTCATACCTCCAGATGACAACCGCCCTTGTTAAGGTTTTGATGACAACCACATTAGAGACCATTAGCAAGAACCACCCAGATAAACTGCTATAGGCTCCAGAGTCTTAAGGTGCTAAGTTTCAAGGTAATTTGTTGTACAGCATTAGATAACTTATATACATCTATTTCTGCTTTATTGACTATGCCAAAGCCTTTGACTGTGTGGATCACAATAATCTGGAAAATTCTGAAAGAGATGGGAATACCAGACCACCTGACCTGCCTCTTGAGAAACCTGTATGCAGGTCAGAAGGCAACAGTTAGAACTGGACATGGAACAACAGACTGGTTCCAAATAGGAAAAGGAGTACGTCAAGGCTGTATATTGTCACCCTGCTTATTTAACTTATATGCAGAGTACATCATGAGAAACGCTGGGCTGGAAGAAGCACAAGCTGGAATCAAGATTGCTGGGAGAAAGATCAATAACCTCAGATATACAGATGATACCACCCTTATGGCAGAAAGTGAAGAACTAAAGAGCCTCTTGATGAAGGTGGAAGAGGAGAGTGAAAAAGTTGGCTTAAAGCTCAACATTCAGAAAACTCAGATCATGGCATCCGGTCCCATCACTTCATGGCAAATAGATGGGGAAACAGTGGAAACAGTGGCTGACTTTGTTTTTCTGGGCTCCAAAATCACTGCGGATGGTGACTGCAGCCATGAAATTAAAAGACGCTTACTCCTTGGAAGGAAAGTTATGACCAAACTAGACAGCATATTAAAAAGCAGAGACATTACTTTGTCAACAAAGGTCCATCCAGTCAAGGCTATGGTTTTTCCATAGTCATGTATGGATGTGAGAGTTGGACCATAAAGAAAGCTGAGCACAGAAGAATTGATGCTTTTGAACTGTGGTGTTGGAGAAGACTCTTGAGAGTCGCTTGGACTGCAAGGAGATCCAACAAGTCCATCCTAAAGGAGATCAGTCCTGGGTGTTCATTGGAAGGACTGAAGTTGAAGCTGAAACTCCAGTACTTAGGCCACCTGATGCGAAGAGTTGACTCATTTGAAAAGATCCTGATGCTAGGGAAGATTGAGGGCAGGAGGAGAAGGGGACGACAGAGGATGAGATGGTTGGATGGCATCACCAACCCAATGGACATGGGTTTGGGTGGACTCTGGGAGTTGGTGATGGACAGGGAGGCCTGGTATGCTGTGGTTCATGGGGTCACAAAGAGTCAGACACGACTGAGCAACTGAACTGAACTGATACCCAGCACATGGGTATCAAGGTTCTTTCCTGTGTTTCTATAATTTCCTCTACATGTTCTTTTGCTGAGCATCATGCCTTCAACCATCACCTCTACCAAAATGTATTTGAAATATTTTTTCCCAGTGGGTCTTATTTACAGAGTCACTGTCCTATTTTTCTCAAAGCACAACCTGTCCTGCCAAGATATTCTATGGACTCTCAAATGTGACATCACAGCCCTTCCTGCTTCCTCTCCTTATTGTCACTTAACTCTCCAGCAACCCTCAGAGTCATCATCAATCACTCTGCACGTTCCTTCTCCATTTATATCTGGTCTGTTGCTACTGTTTCTTCAGAGTTTCTTGCATTTCCATTCCTACCACCTGTAGCTTGGTTTGGGCCCTCCTGACCTCCTGGGCAAGGCCTCCATTCTGGTTTTCCTGCCTCCCAGAATCTCCTTACTCCCTTCCCTTCTTCATCCTGCTGCTCTACGATAAAGCCTCTGGAGCACGTTTTCCATCATAGTTGTACTATGCTCAGAAAATCTCAAGTGGCTCCCCAACTGTCTATTATTAACTGTTGTATAACAAAGCACCCCCAAACTTAGAACTTAAAGCCACAGCTGTGTATTTTTTAATCATGAGTCTTTGTATCAGATGAGTGGTTCTGCTTATCTGACCTGGGTTCACCAAGGCTCAGTCACTCCTGCTTCTGCACCGCTGTGTTTTGAAGCCCATTCTGATCACCCATACTAGTGCATGAAATCTTAAGAGGAGAAGCCAATCATCTGGGATTTCAGCCGAGAGGTCCTGCAAGCACAAGCAGAGAGAATTCCTGGAAAGAACCTCTGACTCGGGTGATTTCCACGGTGGCCGGAAGACACAGCTGGGACTTCCCACCCAGCAGCATGTGGTTGTTTGCAAAACTGGCCCGTAACACAGCACAGCCCACTGTGCCATCTGGGCCACGTCTTGGCGAGTGGTCATCCCATGCCAGGATCCAGTGTTCCCGTGGACATCTTAAGCCCTCTGTCTGCTGTGGGCTCGCTAAGCCCCCAGGCCTGCTAACCTGACATGGAGTCTGAGCCTGGCTTGATTTTCACAAGGGTGGCATAAGGGATGGTCTGATTCAAAATGATAGCTTCCAGAGTCCCATCATTAGCTTTCATTGTTCCAGCTCCATCCTTTGCCAGCACGCGTGGCAACAAGGAAGCATTTATGTAGCTGCTGTCAGTGTCTGGGGTGGCCTCATCACTGCTGTATCTCTGATTAATTCTAACTGAAAGCAGCTCACCCTCAGGAGGACAAAGCCCATCAGAGACCAGTTAACAAAAGAAGATGAATGTGCCCTTCGGGCCAGTGTTTGGGGAGGGGGACATGTTTTTAGGAGACTTGCAATCTTTTCCACAAAGAGCTACTGTTTTTCATCTTTTAGAGAAAATGTTTTTTCTTTCTGCACTATTTGTGTCCTAACGCATTTTTATCAGTTGATTGCCTCATCATTATTGATATGTATGTTGTTATTAATAAGTATTAATGATACTAATTCTGTTTGCTACAGCAGCACAGATTAATTACTATTTGGGGGTAATACTATTTTCCAATTCTGAGCTAATTCAGAAATCTTTCTTTTATGGAAATGGGCATGCCATGTGTCTGTTCTCAAAGGGAAAAAATAAAACTACCACAGCTTAAGATCAGCATTCCAGAATCATAGAGTTAAGGAAGATTTTGTTCCCACAGCGAATAACCAGAGGCCCTCATTATTAGCTCAAGCGTGGTGGTGTTTTCAGTAACTTTTCTCAGTCTTCTGATCATGACTTGAGTATACATTTTGGATATCTTTTGGATAAACAAAAGGGGGAAGAGGATGTGTGGATCCTGCTGTTGACCCATAATCCTGTCTCAGAGCCTGGTCCCTATATGGTCTGAGACTCTGAAAATCTAGGCTTTCTCAGGAAAAAAATAATGTGCACTAGGACCAAATAAGAGAATGACAGCCTTGTTCATCCCCTCATTGTGGCTGTGTCTTGCTCTGTAATGATGACAGCAGTGTAGCTCCCCTCCCCTCACCGTCCAAACGTTGAAAAGTTCTCCCTGGTAATCTCAGAGGTTTGCCATTTTAAAAAGATTCATACATTTGAACACGAGCAGAATGTCATCTAAAGAAATGCCATAAGGCAGGGGACTGGTGACCAGAAGGCCTCAGTGTAATTTAGACCACTCTCCCTTAGATGTAAATTAAGATAGAGAAGATTAACCTGACCCACAGTAAAAGCACTGCAAAAGGTTTAGGGGTTAGGTTGTTATGGATAAGGTTAATTAATTTTTCAGGGGCACCAGAATATACTATTAAAGTGTCCTGGTAGAAGTAATTTCATAAGAGTAATTTCCAGAAGGATTTTATTCATCTCACATTGGTGAAAATATTCGCTGTAGAAAAGACCGTAATTTACCCCTTTTGAGTAAAGTTTCTTGCGCTGTGCTAGAAACTGGCTCCTTCTGGCTCTGTGCTTCCCTTGTTTCCTATACAAGCACTGTAACATTTTCCACTTGTTAGTACAAAAATTATGTGATTGTTTCCCTGAGTTATCTTAGGTGTTGCTAAATGCTTGTGTGAATTAGAAATCTTTTTTTTTTTTCTTTTTCTGAAAGTGCCATTTTAAGAACTTTTAGGGTGGCAACCTGAACCTGGAATAAATTAAATTTGAGGATTGCTTTCATTTATTAATGGATAGTATTGAAATATATATACTAATATGTTCATTTATTCATGCACTGATGTAAATGTCCATAGAGTCAAATGTTTAAGAAGCTATCTATTGAGCCCCCACTGTTGAACACTGGCCAGGGTGAAAAATTAACTGGGTAAGATATTAAACTTAAGGTGGGTTTTATAAAATAGTTATATGTAAGTAACAATCTAAGGGTTAAAAGCACAAAGTTCACTTGGAGGTCCAGACACAATTTTGTGGGGATTAGGACGGTGGGGAGATTACCTCTGGGTAGATTTAATCACATAGGCTTCATAAAGGAGGTGGAGGGTAGGGCTCACTCTTGAAATTGGTCATCTGGATGCATCATGAATGCTGGTCATAGAGGCATCAAGCACGCAGGCAAAGGTGCACAGGGCAGGGCTGGGTGCCATGATGGGTTCGGTGTGGCTGGAACATAGGGATACGAGGAGAGTTGGCATGGCAGGTAGATGGATGTTGAGTCACTTAAGGCCTTGAATGTCAGGAGAAGCTTGGGCTTTGCTCCCTGGGCACTGACAGCTCTTAGAGGTTTGAAAGCTGGGGAAAGGCATGGTCAGATTTGTGTTTCAGTTCTAATGTTTCTCACACTGTAACATCCACCCACATCACCTGTGATCTTATTAAAATGCAGGCTCTGAAACAGTAGGTCTGGGGTAGGACTCTGCATGTCTAACAAGCTGCCAAGTGATGCTGCCGCTGCTGGTCCACAGACCCCACTTTGAGGAGCAAAGTTGTAGGGAAGGTTCCTCTCCCAACAGGTTGGATCTGAGCAGAAGGAGTATGGGAACCTATTAGGAACTATACACTATTAGGAACGTATTAGGAACGTACACTATCCTGGCTGAACAGATCTGAAGAGTTACTTTTTTAAAAATCAAGACTTGCTTTAGTGACTCATTTATACGTTCAAGAATCTCATTGTAAACACAAGTAATGGTCTCACTTTCAGATACAATACTTACTGAGGTCAGTGAGTTCTCAGGAGAGTTGTCCATAACTCTTTTATATAGAGTTATATAAAAGAATTAGTCGAATTTTTTGTCCCTGGGGCATTTCTGTGGTCATCTGAAGAGCTAAAGAGAAAGAAATGGCCTCTTTTGAAAGGTGAGACGCAAATCTATATCAGAAGAACTAGAGGTCTGGGGTGTAGGGACAGAGGTCAAGTTCTGCCTGCTGAAGAAGACCACAGTCCTCTTCCCCAGGGACCAGCCTGTCAGTTGTCACACCCACCACTCTCTCTGCATCATCTCTTCTATCATTGTCCCCACCCTTCATCTTAGCTGTTTCATTGCAGTCTTATGGTCCAGCTGATCTCATCAGTATTTCATCTCTTCTAGAGTTTCTCAGAGTTTTTGCCAGGGTTCAGCCATGTGTAAATTTCTTAAGACTTTTAAACATTTGATTGGGTAACTAAATGCTCAAAAACACATAGTTACCTAATTCAGTAAGTGAAATGTGATCATACCAAGTCAACTTTGTTTCAAACCTCCTATAGTTCTCCCCTAGCTTCCCCAAATTCCATCTTTTAGCTTGAAATTGCACCTGCATGTATCTGCTACAGGTCTGATTGTGGTGGGTTCTACTCTGGCTCCATCTGGGGAACCAGGAAACGTGCCCCAGCCCCCTCACCCTTGCAGTCTGCCCAGCAAGGCTCTTCCAGACACTTTATCCCTGTCTGGCCTGAGGGCTAAACCAGTCTTGACCTCTGGGAACCTTGGTGTCTGGTGTTGAATGCACATGTCCAGGTGCTAAGAGTTCACTCCCCAAATGCTTCTTCCCAGGCACGCAGAGCCGCTGTGGCTTTTTAGGTCCAAAAGGGACATTAGAGAGCCCTGTGCCTCATATTACGTCTGTAAAAAAGGAGGCTGAACAAGTTGTCCTGATTACAAAGCAAGCAAATAGGAAAATGGGGGCAAGAAGCTGGTTCTCAGGGACCCACATTCTCTTTCATCCCCCTCTAGTTGCAGCTGAAGAATTTCTATCATACAGGTTTAGGGAGAACAGTTTAGTTAGGAGGGGTAGGGAGCTTGAAGCTGCTTTTGCATAAAAACTTTTATTAAAATTGAGGAAGTACCAGTGGTCAGCATCAAAGAATGAGGTGCTGATGGAGATGGAGGGCGGGGGCACTCAGTCTCCTAACTACTCCTTTTTCCCACACCGAAGAAGCCAGGACCACTTTGTATTACTGAAGAGCCCCAGATCTTCCCTGAGATACGCAACACAAAAAACCTTTGTCCTCAGTTTAAATACTTCATGAGCTCAAGTAGTCACCATCGGTGAGCGAAGCAGGTGATAACCACGCGCCTGGACAGGATGGGTTACAGACACGGCCCAAGTGACGCCTTTCCTTCAATTATTGACACAGGAGTCACCAGAGTGGCTGCTTTCTTTGTTGTGGGTCCGGTGTTGCCTTCGGCAGCATTTTCTACCTCGGAGGCCCAGCAACAGTGGGCTGGAGGTTGGGAGGAGAGGGGGCGTGAGGGCTGACTTCCAGCTGGAGGTCTGATGCTGATCCCCCCGCATTCGCTGTCTGTTTCAGGGGAGGCTCAGAAGCAAGATGAAAGTTGTGCTTCTCCTGAGGCGTTGGCAGTGCGGGAGGATGCCGGGAGGCTTGCTGTCAGCTCCCCAGCAAGTCAGAGCCACAGGAACCAAAGCAAGCACTTTCATCCCTCATTACTCCAAGTACCTTCTGAGGAAGAAGAGGTAAACAGGCTTGGGAGGGAGACTGTGAAACTGACAGAGGAGCAGGCAGCTGCAGGCCCAGAAGGGGTCAGGAGAGAGAGTCCCGTGGAGGGTCAGAGGGAGGAGATGGGGCCTTCCCCCCCAGGCCTGACCGCCGATGGGCCGTGCCCCAAACCTTGCCCGGACTCCTCTGAGTCCAGGCAGCCAGAAGCCAAAGTTTCCACCCTGGCGGATGATAAGGACGCTACAGAGGGTGGAGGAGGCATAAGGAGCACTGTGAAAACATGAAGGGGAAGAGAGATCGGGCACGATGCCATGTCGAAGGTACTCCAGACATAAAGAATTACACATCAGAACAGCTCAGCGAAGAAGTCACTTTCTCCTAAAACACCTCCAGCCTGCAATGAGAAGGGACACGGATCCGGTTGCAAACTGTGAATCTTCTGATGAGGCCAGCAGAGTTTGATTTACCAAACACGGGTCCTCAAGCTTTCCCGAGCCTCTTTCTGTGGAAGCCACACTGCTGTAAACGTGGCCAGGCATGGGCTCATGTCAGCCAGATGGCTGGTTTTCAGCGTCGGTCTTTTCTGTCAGCATTTGTTTTAGTTAGAGATGTTTTTCTATTAGCATTTAAAGTTGTTGGTCAAAATTATGGAAAGGGTTTGAAAGGGGTGGGGTTTTTCATCAGGTGCCCGTCGTTGGCATGATTCAGTGCCTGCAGAGTAAGGTGTAATTGAGCGTAGTGGGTCCAGAGGGCCCACAGCTCCTCTCCATCACGTCAGGGCCTGGTGGGACCTCCCAGGGTGGATGTTCTTGGCATCGTGCCTACAGCCTGTCTGTCCTGGCACCAAATGGCAGGTGGAAAGGGGCTTAAGTGGGCTCAGAAGGTTAGGCTTCCGGTTTGAAATCCACAACGCCTGTTGAGACCTGTCTGCTGACTACTAGAGCTGAGCTTCCCAGCCTGGAATTCTAGAGGATTAATCGACCTTGAGTAATGGCAGGTTATAGACAAGCAGAGAGAAGGGGACTCCAATGGTGTTTTGATTTTTTTTTTTTTTTTCTGGGAGCCAAAACCTGGGAATGCTGGTTCTCTGCTTTCAACCCAGGCTGCATTTAGGGTTTTATGGTCCTGTGGGTTGTGGCAGTGTAGCTGCTTTGGGACCAATCCAGGTTTCCCCACCACCTGGAATCTCTAGCTATCCTTCTCCAACAGAATGCTGTAGCCACCCTCTCTGTGGCCAGGTACTGAGGTTTTAAAGGCAAGGCAGAGCTTGTGGCCCTAGAGTGGAAAGAGAGGGAAAAACAAAGTAACTTTATTATAGCCTGGGGAGGCAGAGTGTGGAAACAAATTCAAGCTCTAAAAGCAGGAAAGTAGAGAGTGGTCACCCCCACCTGCGGCTTCCCTTAGGAACAAAATTAGCTTTTCGAGGCAGCATCTGGTGCTGTAGGGTGTTGAGGGCTCATGAAATGAGACCTTTCCTTGTGCCTAATGCAGTTTATTTCCCAGGAATACCTAAAACCAGATCCCAAAGCTCAAAATGTCCCTGAGAACCGGAATCACTCCTTTGAGAGAGACTCCTGAAGAGAAAAGAGAAGTTCCCAAGGTAGGAGAGGTAGAAAATTCATCAATTCATCCTAGAAATCAGATATATTTAGACCAGGCTTGTGATCCCAGGTGGGAATCCCACATGCACATGGGTGGCCAGCGGCTCCTCCCCCAACACCTCCCTTCCACATCTTACCTCCTGGCATCACTCGGCCAGCAGGGTGGGATCCATCACACTTGGCACTGTCTCAATCTGACGGAGGGCAGGGTGCAGACTAGAGGTTCTGTCCTTTCCCAGATGCACTGGGAAGACCTCCAGCTGCCTTCCCCCCACTCACCTGAGGTCACCGCCACGAGCAGGATGCGGGCACACCTGAGTCAGTGCACTGTGGCTCCTAGTGAGCTGGACTCATCTACCCCTGCCCCCTGGGCCCCAAGGCCCCATTCATTCATTCTTCTGTGCTCCAGCCTCTCCCCCTGCCCACACCTATTCTCCCACCTTCCGCTCCAGAGGCCACTTCTGCAGCTGCAAAGCTTCCTGCTCAGGCCAGCAGCCACAGCAATTGTTTTCCTGTTGCACCAGGCCTAAACTCCCTGCAGATGTTTAGCCCTACTGCATAGGACGCCAGAGCCACCACAGGAAAACATGGCCAGATTTAATACAGGGATAATAAAAAGAAAAATCTCTCCCCACAATAGCCTTGGTCTTGACACACAGTTGGCCAGGTGCATGTCTTTAGGGCCTCCATCACCTGCTGAAAACCAGGGCTTATAATAAACTCCAACACATTCCATCATGGATAAAAAAATTGCTGCGAGTCCCAGTGTGTGAGGTTCAGGGCAGAGGGTCATAGGAAATGCTAACCTAAATTCCGTATGTCCAATCAGCTTGGGGTTGGGGGTCTTGTGTTATTAGATGAAATTGTAGCCAATGAGTTGATCCTGTCATATTTGTAATCCGAACATTGCCCTGTACCCATGTGATACTGTCCCTCCTTTGCTATTCCAATCCAACATGGTTCCAAAGACATTAAAGAGTTTCAGCAATTACTTAACAGTTGTCTTTTGTCTTTTCATGAGTCATTGTGAAAGTGTGCTGCATTCTATCCTCTACTCCACCAAATAACCCTGCATCAGTCAGGATCCTCTCAGCTACAGTTCACAGTTTTAAGAAACTTAAACTATAGGGAAATGAATTATATTGCATAACAAAAATTCAGTAGTAGGGCATTCCAGGGCTGGTTCATTCAAGAAAGTTATCAAGGAACTCATTTTCTGTCTTGCTGCCCTGCCTGCCCCAGCGGCAGATACTTCCTCATGCTAACAACATGGCTGCAACAGCACCAGCCATCACTTGTTCTCACATATTGTCCAAAGGCAGAAGGAAGTTGTGTGTGTGTGTGTGTGTGTGTGTGTGTGTTTTAAGAGCAGGTAACCCAATGCTTGTCAGGGCTTCCAAGGTATCTCAGTGGTAAAAAAAAAAAAAAAAAAAAAAAAAACTCTGCCTCCCCATGTAGGAGATGCAGGTTTGATTCCAGGGTTGAGAAGATGCCGTGGAGGAGGAAATGGCAACCTACTCCAGAACTCTTGCCTGGAAAGTTCCATGGACAGAAGAGCCTGGCAGGCTGCAGTTCATGGGGTTGCTAAGTCAGACACAACTGAGCAACTGACCATACTTTCATGCAACCTAGGACTTGTCACATTTCATTGGTTAAAACCGTCACATGCCTATTTGACCATGTCACATGCCTATGTCTAAACAGTCCTTAGCAAGGAAGATGGATTTGCTGTGATGGGTTTAGGTCTATCGAGGAAGCCTGTCCCTGGACATGCAGACTCTAAAAGGATGAACACTGAAACAAAATCAGGTCTTGGGAAGTATAGGAGAGTTGGGAGTAGATTTGAGTAGGCTGCCAACAGAATTCTCTCTGAACCACACGTCTGTTCTTGTTGTATTTTTTCTCTTAAAAACCACAATATTACATTACTGGCAAATGTAGAGTTGGAGAGAGGAGCAGTTGTTTGTTAAGAAAAATGTCATCTCATCTCTCCCTTCCCCTGGCTTCTACATCATCTGTCCTATTTTGTAACTGGCGTGTTCCCACCTCTGTTTACGTCTTCAAGTATGTCTGTCCTTCCATTATTTTTTTCCAGCTCAGTTGCCAGCAGAATGCAGAGCAGTCTGGATAAATGAAACTGAGCGGGCAGGTCTCTTAATGAAATGCACACATGGCATTTTCTGAGATCGCTCTGTACCTGAGAGCCTTTGGGTGTGGATTTTTACATGTGAGTGTTTATCGTTCTAATGAAGGCTCACAGAAATGGGTTGGCTTTTGTAAACCAGGCATTTCTCACCCCAATCCTCTTCTCTTTCTGTGCCTCCTCTGCCCACCTCTTCTCCCCCTCCCCTTCTTCTTCCCCTGGAACATCTATTCCTGACGCCTCTCTAGCTAGGAGGCCTCTGATGGCATTCAGCTCAGCCCCTGCTGGCACCTCTTCCCTGCTGGCAGTCTTAAGGAAGCTAAATTCATTTTCCTGTTTTTGTTCCTCTTTCTGTGCCCTCACTCCCAAACACACACCACCATCACGAGGTGAAGTTCTAAAAAAGAGTTCTGCTGTCGGGCATTCATGTGTTGGAGTGAACTGGGGGATGTGTTATCACTATTGGAGCATTTACACCTCAGTTCACCATGTGAATTGTTCCAAATGGAAGTCCAATCTTCTCTCTAAAGAATTTCAAAGACCAGCTGCTTGCTCATTGGGGTTATCTTTTTCTGTCTCTTTCAGATCACAGCATGCCTTTGCCCCTCTTGGTTTCCTCCAAAACCTGGGGGCTCTCCTGGCTGGATCATTTCCTGTTGCCCCGTGAGCTGGTGCCCTCTTTCTCTCTGGCTCTATTTGAGCACCTTCCCCCCTGCCCTTGCCTTTCATTGTGGAAGCCTCCATTTGGAACAAATGTTCCTCCTTAATAATATTGAGGGTAACTTCACACGGCTCAGTTAGGATGTCTAAAAGCCAAAGGGTTCCCCTCAACTCACTACTGCTATATACTCCTTGTCTTCCAGATGTCTTTCTGAACAGAGAAAAATTTGAAGATCAGAGAGATGCAGTAGAGAGCTCGGCAGTGAATCTAATTAGAAATGAGAAGCAGAAAAATAAGAAGGCCCCGTCTCTCCATATTCTGGTTGCTCACAAAAACAAAACAAGTTGATACAGCGTGATGGCAATTTAAAATGATAGATATAGATGTGCTGCCTTACGTTTCATATCACCTCTCTACTAAATGAGGATTTTTTTTCGGATGCTTAGGCAAAGTTTGCATAATACTGACAAGTATGACTTTCTGAAATCTATATGAGCCCAGGAATATATTTTGGGATCGTAGCGAAGGCCAGTGATAGCCTATTAAATTTAAAACAATAGACTTAAAAAAGCACACCAGCTGCTGTTTTGTAGTTTGATTTAAAGAAAGAAGTAACTTCTATTCAGGTGTAGACCTTGTTTTATTGGATTCTACCATCATCGTGTATCATAACTATATATTTTTTGTTACCTGAAATTAAAATATAATTTTCCCAATGTAGGTGATTGATTATCTTTATTACTTACATTATCCCACCCACCCACCCTCGCTGAAGGCCAAGCCTGGGCTGAGCATGGTTTCTAGCAAACTATAGCAGCTTATCACTTGCAATCTGTCACCTAAAATTATTAGATCATATGAAGTTGTGAAAAATATGGAGAGTGTAAAGATTTTATGCAATCAGCCAAAAACGCCAGATCTAAAATCAGTTGGTTTATTTCCTGCCATCTTTCAAGTTGACCAAAGCTCTCACTGATTTGCTCTATTTTCTTACGTTTTTAGTATTTCTGTATATACATGCACTGAAAAGCCCCACTTGGAAAAAAAATGCACTGCAATTCTGAGAAAAAGCTTATCCTAAACATCTAAAGATAGCATTTCTAATTATTGTCGACATTGTGTTTACACTGTGCAAACTTGAGCATTATTCTCACTTTACCAGCTGTGTCTAGGTAGAGTCATTACATCAAACGCTTCTAATTTTACAAAAAGAAATCAAAACAAGTGTGTGTTTAAGTCTCAGTGACAAACGCAAACCCTGTGAGTCAAATAGGCAAACTGATTAGCAAGCTGGCTGGGAAGTCAAAACAGCAACTATAAGGAGATTAACAAAATAGATCTGTGAGGGTAGAGGGGTAAAAATAGCCTCCAGGGGCCAAGCGGGGTCCTGCAGGCGGGTTTGGTTGTGCATATCCGGTTCTGTGCCGGGAACCAGATGCCTGCCCTTATGGCCGCCAGTCTTTCCTTCATTTAGAGCTGTGATCACAGAATTCATCTCAGCTGGCCTCTTACTGGATGTGGAACTCCTTCTTCCAAACCAAAGAGGTAGCAGCCTTTCCTTTACTTGAATCCTTCCAGTGACAGAATCCTCACTACATTTCAAGGTCATTCAATCCACTGTGCGTGCGTGCCAAGCCGCTTCCGTTGCATCTGACTCTTTGCAATCCCATGAACTGTAGCCCACCAGGTTCCTCTGTCCATGGGTTCTCCAGGCAAGAATACTGGAGTGGGTTGCCATGCCCTCCTCCAGGGAATCTTCCTGACCCAGAAGTTGAACCCTTGTCTCCGGTGTCTCCTGCATTGGCAGGTGGGTTCTTTACCACTAGGGCCACCAGGGAAGCCCCCATCCAACCCATTAGTAGGTAACTATTTTCTGACCTTAGCTATGATTATTAATTAATCATTCACTAGATCCTTAGGCCTTAGCGCTATGCTATACACCTCTCAGTAATAACAATTTGATCACCACAACAATCCAATGTAATAATCTTATTTTACAGGTGAGAGAACTCAGGCCGAGAGAGGTGAAGTGACTCACTTAGGTCACAAAGTTTATAAGTGTGGTCCAGCTGGGGTTCCAAATAGGCCTTCCTACCTGAGGCTGAACTTGTGGTCACTGTGCTATACACATTCCTTGTCCTTACAGTGAACTGTAATTTGCCCCTCTAACATTTCCTTTTTTTTTGTTTGTTTCTTGGCTCTGGAACCCCATAGAGCAGTTCATCAACCCCATTTCCATGAATGGACAGAACAGAAATAAAGCAGATCTGCCAGGGTATCTTTTCAGTCCAGGGGAGTCCAAGGTAGTGAAGAGAGAAGCTGAAAACAGAAGGTGCTGTGGTCTGAATGTTTGTGTTTCCTGCAAAATTCATGTTGAAATCCTAACCCCCATATGTGATGGTGTTAAGAGGGGAGACCTCTGGTAGCAGTCCCAGAGTCATGAAGGGAGAACCTTCTTGAATGAGTTGCTGTTGTTGTTCAGTCGCTCAGTCGTGTCTGACTCTTTTCAACCCCATGGACTGCAGCTGCCAGGCTTCACTGTCCTTCACCAACTCCCAGAGTTTGCTCAAACTCATGTCCATTGAGTCAGTGATGCCATCCAACCATCTCGTCCTCTGTCATCCCCTTCTCCTCCTGCCTTCAATCTTTCTCAGCATCAGGGTCTTTTCTAATGTGTCAGTTTCTTCGAATCAGGTGGCCAAAGTATTGGAGTTTCAGCATCAGTCCTTCCAGTGAACATTCAGGATTGATTTCCTTTAGGATTGACTGGTTTGAGCTCCTTGGAGTCCAAGGGACTCTCAAGAGTCTTCAACACCACAGTTCAAAAGCATCAATTCTTCAACACTCTTGAATAAGACTGGTGCTTTAAAAAAGACTGGAAAGAGATCCCTCACCCCTTCCACCACGTGAGAACACAGCAAAGGGGTGCAGGCTATGAGACCCAGAGAGGCTCTCATCCACCATATTGGTGCCCTAATTTGCACTCCCAGCCTCCAGAACTGTGAGAAATAAATGTCCATTGTTTATAAGCCAGCCAGGCTGCAGTATTTTGTGATAGCAGCCCGTGTGGACCAAGACAGAAAAGAAACAATGCGAGGCACCATCCCCTTCTGAAAAACAAGTACAAACTTCCATTGACAATCCTGAATTAACCTGTAATTTGGGCAGCAGTGTCAAAGATAGGGTTCTGGCCTTTTATTCTTGCCTATTGTGTATTCCTATGAAATTGCTGCCTGTATTCACAACTTTTAATTGTGGGGATAGGCAAATGCATCTGAGATCAGGATATTTAAATACTCAGTTTACTAATCCCTTATCAGTGCCAACCTGTACAGTTTAAAATAATACTCCAGACTGTTACCAAACCAAGCTGGGGTCTGCTTGCCTGATACTCAGTAAAGCCAACCTACTAATACCAGGTTTGGTGATGGAAAGGGTGTCCATTGTGGGGCCAAGCAAGAAGAATGGGCAGCTCATGTTGAAAAGACTCGAATTCCCTGATGGTTTTCAGTGAAGGGTTTTTTAAGATGAAGGAGAAGGTCACAGGGTGCATGAGCCACTCAAGGACATCCTTCCGGTTGACTGGTGATGAAGACAAGGTGATGTTTCAGGAATCTCAGTCATCAACCTTCTGGTTCCAACTGGTCTGGGGTCTACATGGTTGTGGTCATCATGCTGTGAACCTTTCACCTGGTAGGGGGTTTAGAATCTGCAAAATGGCTCAAGGATATGGCTCACATTCTCTATAGTCCTTGTGGAGGAACTAAAGGTCCTTGACTGTTTTATAACTAAACATTTATTTAAATATAACAAAATATAACTATTTTACATTTGTAAGTATTCGAACTGAACATTTACTTTGTCTTGCTTGACGGTTTTCCTTTGTTTCTGCATTTTCTCACTTCTCTGATTCCATTTGCTCTCTAGAACTCGGGGAAGGCCTAGCAGGCCAGAGTTCTACAGACTGGGGGATGTGGGGATGGGAACACAAGGGGTCTGTCCCTGGGAAGGCCTCGCAGAGTCCTGTTCAGTTTCAAAACCAGTGAGAACCAGTTGGTGGAGCAAATTCACCAGGCAATAGTCTTTCTTCCCACTTGTCACTTGGGTTCAAGGAGCGGTTTTTGGATAACAAGTTAGTCCTAGTAAGAGGTAAAAATAACCACTGGGGATGAGTTTTTGGCTAAAGTTCAGTTTGACTCACTGCCTCAAGAGTCTGAGAGAAACAGAAGCTGCCTATAAAGAACCAGGGTGGAACACTCACAGTTAGGAAGTGAGTCTATCCCAGGAAGCTAAAAAGTTAATATACTTTCATTAATAAATGAAAGTGAATACACAGGACTGACTACTCTGTGTATAGATTATAATTTTCAAGAGGAGAGGCAGAACCATTCCCCCATCAAGGCTTGATCAGGACCAACCTACCTTTGGACCCCATTGCTTCCAGCTGTTTTTGTAATCAAGAAGTTAAGAAGAGGGACTTCCCTAGTGGCCCAGTGATTGACTCCACACTTCCAATGCAGGGGGCCAGGGTTTGATCCTTGGCCACGGAGCTAAGATTCCACATGCCATATGGCATGGCCAAAAAAAAAAAAAGTCAAGAAGAGCATTGTCCTGGTTGTGGAGAAGGCTGACAACTTCAGATACCAACACCAACTTCCCTGGAACTGGCACAGTGGCACGGCCTCTCTGGCCCTGTCTCCACCATCTGGGGAATGGACCTCAGGCTTCACACAGAGGCAGGTACATTGGTGCATCCCCCACGCCAGGCCAGTGGCTCCAGCATCAGGATCACTGGGCATGAAAGCGTCAGTCGCTCAGTCATGTCCGTCTCTGCAACTCTACGGACTGTAGCCCGCCAGGCTCCTCTGTCCATGGGGATTCTCCAGGCAAGAATACTGGAGCGGGTAGCCATTCCCTTCTCCAGGGGGATCTTCCCAACCCAGGGGTTGAACCCATGTCTCCTGCATTGGAGGCAGATTCTTTACTGTTTTGAGCCACCAGGGAAGCCCAGAATCACTAGGAAGTTTGTTTCAAATCAATTTCCTCCTCTCCCTTTGAATTCTACAGTTCTGGGATGTAGCCCAGGAAGCTGTTTTTTTGTTTGTTTTCCCACTTCCCTAAGTGATCTTGCTTTCCTCCCTCTTGCAAGCTCCACCCAAATGCATGAGGATCAATAGGTGATTAAACCGTGCAGAGGAGCTGGGCAGGGAAGAAAGAGAAGTCCTATAGGGATTTGGGAAACATCTTTACCATTCCCCAAAAATAGCTGAGCCAGGAGAGAAGCATCAAAAAGAAAAAAGTAACCAAGGTCCCCATAAAGTACTGATTTGCTGAGTTTTTAATGTGCAACGCAAACACTGTCAAACAACCCCCAAAGGAGCTGCTCTCTTGAGGGATTGGGGTGGGGGGTGAATACCTGGAGACAGCTGGAAGAGGCACCTAAGTGCAGGCTGCACAAGCTTGGGGACAGAGGTGGGGGAGTGGTGGTAGGCAAATTCTGGAGGGGTCTCCGAGTGCCTAGAAGGAGCCCGTAGGAGGTGGGGGGAGGTGGGTGCTTAGGGCATAGAGGGATCTCAGGGCTCACAGGGTGAAGGTGGGGGTGTCAAGGTGGAAAGGGACCTCAGAGAGTCTGGAAGACCCTCAGGATTCAGGGGTTTACTTCGGTATCTCCGGGGGGTCCTCAGAGCTCGGGGTGCCCTCAGGATGAAAGGGGGTGTCTCAGTACACGTGGTTGAAGACCTCGAAGTGAAGGGGATTTTCAGTTAGATCCTAGCCATGGCAGAAGGGGTGCTCACAGAGTACAGAGTGTCTCCGGAAGAGGAAGGAGCAAAATCAAGGTGACGGGGTAGGCGGCTTGGGGTCTCAAGGATGGGATCGTGGGCCTTGGAGGGGCGTCAGGATGCTGAGGGGTCCCAGGGTTGCCCAGGATGCGTAGAAGGGGTCCTGGGTCACATGGAGAGCGTCTTGGGCTCCTGGAGGAGTGTCAGGGTGTAGAAAGGTCCGGGGGAGAGGCCACAGCACACAGGGATACTAGGCTACGTAGAGAGGGGACGTGGAGGCACATAGAGGGGGTGGCGGGAGCCTGGAGAGAAGTCCGGGCGTGGAGCGGTCTAGGGGCATTTGGAGCGGAGTCGGGGCGCGGAGGGGTCCCCAGAGCGCACAGAAGGGGTCTCCGGCGCGCGGTGCGGTGGAGCGCTCAGAGGGCCTTACCCTCGCTCTCGCGCCGCCGCTCCGGCCTTACACTCGCTCTCGAGCCGCCGCTTCCTGCGCTCCGCGTGCTCCTGCGCCTTGCGCGCCCAGGGCCCCGGGCCGCACAGGCCCACCACGCAGCAGGCAAGCCGGCGGCCCGCGTTGCCGTTCTCCAGACTGGCCTGATCGCCGCCGCGGCCCAGGTCGTCCTCGCCCGCGTGGACCACCACGGCGCGGCCCGCGATCGAGTGCGGGCCGGTGAGCGAGGCAGCCAGGTCGTAGCGGTGCTTCCAGACCTGGCCACTGCGCACGGCGAAGTTGCCAAAGTCGCCCGGGTGCTGCGGGTGTGGCATGGACATCGGGTTGTAGTGAGGCCCGGTGGAGTCGCAGCCCTGGCTCAGGTCCCCAAACTGGTGCACGTGGATGGCGTGGTTTGTGCCATTGGGCTCGTCCTGGAAGCCCTCAAGGTGGAAGAAGGCCTCCAGCAGGGTGCCAGGCCGGATCTGCCGGAAGAGCACGAGGCCGCTGACCCGGGGCTGCTCCGCCTCCAGCGTGGCCGACGGCTGCACCCGGCAGACGGCATGGAGCGCGGCGTCTGGGTCGATGGCCGTCGCCCGCCGCTGCATCACCGTCTCCTGCCAGATCTCCGTCACCTTGGTGTGCATGTCGCGGATCTGCTCCTCCATGAAGGAGTACATCTGATGCAGGAGCTGGTCGGCCGAAGCGGCCGAGTCACAGGCCACCAGGAGCAGATAGACACAGAGCAGCGCCAACATGGCCAGAGTCGAGCACCTGCGGGCACCCCCAGGGGGTGGGGGCGGAACGAGGCTTAGTCACCGGAAACCTGGAATATCAGACACTCTGGTGTCCTTGACTCCAGACCCTTTCTGCTGAGGACCTTTCTTGCCCAGCGTCCCTCTCTTGTTCTTTTGGCCCCTGTCTCTCCAGGGCCTGCTGTGTTCCAGGAACTGGGCTAGGTGCTGCGGTTGTAAAGATGGATGAGGAATAATCTCAAGAAACTCACAGGGATCTTTCTGAGCCACAAGTCTTATCGTGATCCTCCCAACTACCATCTCCACAGCATGGTGGGGGTGGCGTAGAGGTGGGCTTCCCTGGTGGCTCAGATGGTAAAGAATCTGCCTGCAATGCGGGAGTCCTGGGTTCCATCCCTGGGTGGGGAAGATCCCCTGGAGGAGGGCATGGCAACCCACTCAGTATTCTTGCCTGGAGAATCCCATGGACAGAGGAGCCTGGTGGGCTACAGTCCACGGGGTCACAGAGAGTCAGTCGGAAGAGCTGCTAAGCCCAAAGGTGGTTGTCCCAGGCTTCCTGAGGAAGCTCTTGTGGCCCTTCCACCTCTCCTCCCTCTCAGCATCTCTGCCCCCTCATCTCCTGCCACTCTTTTAGGGCATCCCCTTAGACAGGCAGCAAAAGGCTGCTTCTTGCACTTGCTGTGTGCTCTCTGAAATGCCCCGCCCCCTCCTCTCTGCCGTGTGGTGTAGACCTGAAGCCAGAAGCTCGGTTTTATTCATCTGTATCCCCAGCATCTGGGCCTGCACCTGGCCGTGGAAGACATTTAATACGTGAATGTGGAAGGAGGAGTTCCCTGAGAGACGGACGTGTCAGCAGATCATTCCAGTGCTATCCTCTGATTGAAGATGGAGCTTTGTGCAGGGGTAGGACAGAATAAGCAGTGCACATCTTCGTGGGGGCTCCAGGAGGGCTTCCCAGAGGAGGTGACTTCTGAAAGTCCCACAGGACAAGTAGGAGCTTTTCAGTCAAGCCAGGTCAGAAGCCCATTTCAGGCAGGAGGCACAACCTGAGTGTTCACAGGCTGTGAAGGGACACAGTTTGTATGGGGCACGGGGGAAATTTAGTGTGGCTGGGATGCAGCCTGTGCCTCCAGGGAGGAGTCCAGGCGAAGAGGGAGCTTTGGGCCAAGGAGGGAGGGGCTGGGTTTGCTGTGCTAAAGTGCATGCTTATTAGCCAGGAGGCTAGTGCTGGTGGAAGTTTTTAAGCAGAAAAGTGAGTGTTGAGATAGTTTTTAGTCTGGCAGGAGAAAGAATGTGGGCTAGATTTCGGGAATGGAGAGGACAGAGGAGAAGGGATGGGAAGACCCCAGGCAGAAATGGAGACACAGAACTGGAGACAGGCAGAGTGATGAATTAAGGGGCAGCAGCAGCAATCCTAACCAAAAATGATGAAGGCTATTACCAAAGAGGAGGCAGCATGGTTTCAGGAGGGCTTCAAACGGTTTCACGGTTTGGGTACCAATGGCAGTGGAGAAGAGGAGCTGGGGATGACTGAGTTCCCAGCGGGGGAGACTGGGTGATGGATGGTGGTACCAGGCCCTGAGAAGGAGGGAGAGAGGGCACGTTTTGCGCAAGCTTGCTAAGGGTAAAACCCCAGGTGGGATGTTGGGCAGACGGTTATAAATGGGAGTTCTGGCCCTTGGAAGAGGCAGTGTCGGTGGGAGGGGCTCTCAGTGTTTGCTGGCCACACATCAGATTCTGAATCTTAAAATTCAGATGCCCAGGCCGCACCCTAAGAGATTCTGATTCAGTGGTTATGAGTTGTTTTTTGTTTTATTTTATTTATAGCTCTGGTACCCAACCAGGAATTTTAAAGAAAGACACAGATACTAACTGCAGTATTGTGGGGGAAATTTCCGACTCTGCCTTAGTTATAAAACAAGGCCGGTAAGACCATCAAGGATCACTAGGAAGGATAAATGAGAAACGAGATGACAGGCCATTTTCACATTTTTAAGCCTGCCCACTGGGATCAATGCTGCCTCTAAAGAGCTGGTTTGAGGATCAACTGCATTGTCAAAGGCCTTATCCAACCCCAAAGCAGATGCCATTTTGAAGTTAAAATCTGGGTTGAGTGTTTATTCTTTCCATAATCATTACAGAAAGACAATCTAGTATGGTGATTAAAATCATGGATTCCAGAACTCACTGGATCTGAAGCCTGACTCTGCCACTTTACCTACTCCCTTAGAGTTAGCATACTTGTTATTTTTGTTACAGAGTACCAGAGAAAGTGCTGGACTGCAGAGTCTAGCTGGGCTCACCCTCCTCTCTGAGCCTGCGGTTTTCTTATATGCAAATAGAGATAATGATACTTACCTTAGAGACTTGCTGTGATGCTTGAAAGACACAATTAGAATCACTAACATTTACTGAAAACACATACAGGCACTAATAAAAATACTTTGCAAATGTTAATTCATGTAGCTTCCCAAGAACCCTCTGGCGTGGGTGCATTGTTACCCCCATTCTAGAGCGCAGACAAACTAAGGCACAAAAAGGTGAGTGTTGTACAGACAACTAAGTCATGTCCAACTCTTTGTGACCCCATAAACTGTAGCACACCAGGCTCCCCAGTCCTCCACTGTCTCCCAGAGTTACATATTCAATAATAGCTGAGGCAGGATGTGAAGGGGTGTGGTCTGCTCCAAGCCCAAGGTTTAGGCACCACACTGTATGGTTCTCATCAGAGGCAATTAACCCAGAGCCTGGTTCATAGAAAATTCCCAGCAAGTGGCAGCTCTTAGCTATCAGAGAAAAACTGCTGCTAAGGATCTCAGGATGCTATTGAAGCTGTGGGAGGAGGAGGTGGCCAGGAAAGGCTCCAAGAAGGAGTGACAGGTAGGTAGAGAGGTCCAGAAAGTGACATCAAGGGCAGCACTTCTGACATGGCCTGGTTACTATGGTAAAGCCCCTGTGAGCTGGGGCGGGAATAGAGGACTATCCCTGAGGCCACATCTTGGTCTCAAGCTCTCCATCACTTCCGACCACCCCTGTCCTTTTGAGCTGGTCCTACACCTCAAGAGGGCTCTGCCAGCTAGCTTTTTCATTGAAAGCATACAGAAAAACAAGTTGCTTTGGACGTGTCCACAAAGCTTTCTTTTCCAAAAAAGCTTGGGTCATAATTAACACTTGAAGGAGATGTTTTTGTCTTAGAGTGTGTGTGTGTGTGTGTGTGTGTGTGTGTGTGTGTGAGTCGCTTAGTCATGTCCGACTCTTTGAGAGCCCATGGGCTGTAGGCTGCCAGACTCCTCTGTCTATGGAATTCTCCTGGCAAGAATATTGGAGTGGGTAGCCTTTCCCTTCTCCAGGGGATCTTCCCAACCCAGGGATTGAACCTGAGTCTTCTGCATTGCAGGTGGATTCTTGACTTTCTGAGTCACCAGGGAAGCCCTCTTAAATAAAAGAGAATTCTTCTTGAACCCCAGGTAAAACTCCTTGGGTCTTAAGCTTTTCACTTCCAGGTCAGCTCGCAGAAGGCTCACCCTCCTCAGTCTCTCAGTTTGAGCTATAGATGACCAAGTGGTTTCAGAAAGGCTTGCTTGGTCCGGAGAGGAGAACAAAGTTATCAGGGAGCAAAGCAAGCTACTGAGCTGGTGCCTCCTTCCTGGGTTTGGGTTTGGGAAAACTGGTTACCTCCCACCCCCTCGAAGACTCCAGGGTCTTCTAAGGCCTGGGTGCCCTATGAGAAGGGGTCCTGGCTGTGAGTCTGAGCCTGCCAGACTCCCTTTCTGCCTCCCCTAAGCAGGTGGCTTTTCCTCACCACCCACACCAGGCAACATCCGGAAACATCTACCTTCCTCAGTCCACGTCTCTCTTTTCTCTAACCCAGAGGATGCTGAGGTCCTCTTGAATGAGCATTAACAGATCCCCTAACAATCGCTTCCTGTCCCCACCCAATGCCTTCCTCAGCCCGTTCCCCACTGCCCTCCTCCTCCCCTCCAGAGCAGCTGGGCTCTATCAAGAAGAAGTGTGTTTCCTCCCATGAAAATGTTCAAATCCTTTTCCTAGAAGAGGCCGGATGCCCTGCCCCAGTTTCAGACTCAGTAAGCACACTCTGAGAAGAGCCACATGAACCCCGACTTCATGCCCACCTTTCCAGCTCTTCAAAGAGAGTTTCTCACCTGGGACCCCCCGAGGAGCAGCGCCTCTCCAGCTGGTCACAGGAATGCGGGCAACTCCAGGCTGTTTGTGAGGGAGCAGGGCAGCCTCCCGGGGGAGTGGTCACTGAGAGGAAAGAAGGTCATTGGGCTGGTCTAGGCAGGGAAGCCGGCCAGGCCGTCCTCGTTGTGGAATTGCCTCGCCTCCCCCAGCCCTGTCCCCTCCCCGCGGTCCCTCCCCAGCCCCGCGTTCCCCAGCCAAGTATTCCTTTTCGCGACTTCACTGAGTGAGTTGTGCAGACTTACGTAGCAAGTGACCTTCAGGGCACAGCAGGGGAATAGAAAGTAGATAGAAAACAGCCTGTTTGGAGAGGTGTACAATGGTCTCTTTCTTGAGACACCCTTTGCTCTCCCCTGATTTCCTCAGCTCTTGATTTACTTTTGCTGGATGCCTGAGATGGAAATGGACACCCTGCAAAAATGCATGATGTTTTCTCCAGGACCGTGCTTCCACACCTGTGAGAGGTGAGACAGCAGCAGTTACCCACTCAGGCTGCAGGGTCCCAGCTTTGTCACTTCCTAAGGCTGTGCCTGCACCTCCATTTCATCATCTGTAAGATGGGGAGGTGAGGCTAACCCAGGACCCTGCCTGTAGTCACTCTCATCCTGTTCTCGCTTCCTTATTAAAGTTACGGAGGAGTTTTTCTAAAAGAATGAGTAGTGTGGAGGAACCACAAGTCTTTCCCTTCCCCAGTGCCCTTTTGCTCCTTTTTTTGCCATGATCTTTCCTCAATCACAGCAGTTCTTTCCAGAAACAGAACCTCCCCCCCCCCAAGAAAAGCCCACATTGGAAAAGGCAGCTTGCCTGCTTGCCTGCCTACCCTCCAGCCTGCTTTCAATAAATGCTTAGTGGGTGCTCACTCTGTTGTGTACTGGTACCCGAAGCTGCGTGAGCCCCTGCCTTTTGGGGTTCATACTCCAGGGAGGGAACAGCAGTGTCAACAGATCCATCCAGTACAGAGTGGGGACTGCAACTGCGGAAGCAAAGCCAGGGCCCCTAGAGACCACAGGAAAGCTTGCTCACAATCTAGACTTCTGGACCCCACCCCAGGCTAAGTTAATCCTTTGCCAGCAGGGCTTCCTGGAATCATCTTTTTAACAACTAGCTATTCTAGAGTATGGGCTTCTCAGGTGGCCAGTGGTAAAGAATTCACCTGCCAAGCATTAGACACGGATTTGATCCCTGGGTCAGGAAGATCCCCTGGAGGAGGAAATGGCAGCCCACTCCAGTATTTTTGCCTAGGAAATCCCGTGGACAGAGGAACCTGGCCCTGTACAGTCCATGGGGTTGCAAAAGAGTCGGACATGACATAGCCACTGAAACAACAAGAATTCTGGAGCACAGCCAGGTTTGGAAACCTCTGCTTGGCAGGCAGAACTCAAAATAAAGATCTTATCCTGGAACAGCCATTGCACGAGATAAGATAGAGACTTCTGGGCACTCAGAGCCTCCAGCCTGAACCCTGGCATCAGCCCGCCTGGCTCACGGAAACCTCGGGCATCATGGGCTCAGTCCCTCGCACTCTGCATTCTGTTATGGGGGTCGGTGCCTTTGACTAATGACTTTTCTGAGTTCCAGATGCTGCCCTCTACTCTACCTCACCCTGAAACATTCTGGTTTCCCATTGTGAATCGTCCATCCAACTGGAAAAAAAAAAAATAAATCTGTATTTTCATTCAGTTATTGAAGTAAGAATTGTATCAGTTCATAACTACTGTATCAAGTAGCACTTTCTTCCTTTAGTTTTATTTAAGGGCCAAGAAAGATTTCCTCTGCTATGATATTCTCGGATTGGTAGTAAAGTCCATTTTCACTTTCCTTTTTATGGCATTCTAGAAGAAATTTGCTTTTTCTCCTACCCGACCTCCCCAATATCCATGCACCACACCTTTGGCAATAGCACCCCAATTTCCTTCTTGGAAATCACTGCATTTTCAGTCCATGCAAGTAGTATTGATTCGCCCTTTGCTCCAGAGGTGGGTTCCTGACCAGTCATAATATTGCATTAGTTCCAGAATAATACATTCAGAGCCAGTAAGATGCAGTGACATTTTTGCTGGGACTGTTGTGAAGAATGTATCTTCTTTTTCCCAATGGACTTGAAACTAGAAGAGAAAGGCTAGAGTTATTGTACCCCCTTGCTTCACTCAGGGAAAACCCATCTGAGGATGGGGCCAGTGGAGGGAGGAAATAGAATAAAAGTAGAGTGATATTTGGACCCAGTTATAGTGTTCCAACCCCTGGATCTAGCTGTACCTGAAACTGTTCTCATTATGTGAGTCAAATACATTCTTTTGTTGTTGTTGTTTTTTAGTGGACAAATGATTTTTTGGTAGTTTTTGTACCTTTTTAGTAATATACACATTTTATAATACATATATTTAAAAATAGTCTAATAAACAATACACTCTATTTGTCTATTCCTACAACATGTATTAAAACCAGAAACTCTTAACAGCATTTGTCTTCGGGATGCAGAACTGAGAATGAGGAAGGAGAGGAAGAAGCACCCTAATCAGCATTTGGAGTTTTTTTCCTAAAATTATTTATGAGAAAGCATTACTTCATTAAAAATTTTTTTTTAATTTATTGTTTTTAATAGACTAGTATGTTTTACCAGTCTATTAAAAAATACCTTCTCTTTTTGCTTAAGTTGTTTGGGCTGCATTTTCTGCACTTAAGACCAAATACTTTACAAAACACTTTCTCACATACTGTTTTATTTAATGCTTGCAATAATTTTGTGGGATAGGTGTTAATTTGCCCACTTTGTAGATAAGGAAATGAGGTTCAGAAAGAATAATTATTCTTTCTGAATAATAGGTCAATTATAGTTCAATTTTTTTAAAGAAAAGAACAGGCCGAAAGTTTCAGTGTTATAACATGGCAAAGGCAAAATTTAAACCCAAGAGTCTCTGATTGCTGATCCTGGTCCCTTAATCATTATGTTTTATTACCTCCAGAAGTCTGAAGGGGCGATGAAAGAGAAGTTCGAAAAAACAAATGACTGTGTACCTCACAGTTATCTCTGTAACGTCAGGGACTGCCTTGCAAACAAGAACCTAACCCTTGACCTCTGTCCTTTCTCCTTGTGTTAATGTATAATACAATGGAAAATCAAACAAGCATTGTAAATCAGCCACTATTAGGAGATGCATTCAAATGTACTCCTATCTGAAGAGAAGAGATCTCTGCTAGAGAACTTTGTACTTCTTTTATGCAGGAATATCAGTTGTACATAACTTCCTTCTCATTGTGTTCAGAAAACTGACAGGATTAAATTCTACCAGGAAATACTGTGGTTACTGTGAGGAGAAAGTTTCTGAACGCAACAGTTAGGATTTCAGGTTGCCTCCTTGAAAGGTCAGAGTCTGTGTGGTAACAGTCTACCCAACCAGAGTACTTCAGATACACCTGAGACAGCTTCAAGAGTGTCTTGCCCGCCTGAGGTTCTCCCTGAAGCCCCTGGGAAGTAAGAGCGGAACCAGGGTCCTGTGTAGTTCAACCTTGCATCCTGTCATTTTGTCCAAACCCCACAGGGTAATATGGGGAAAAGGAGAGGCTTGTTGGCAAAGTGAGCAGGGAGATTAAAAAAACATCATTCTTATTAACAGTCATAACAATACTATCTCACAGGTATTCAGTGCCTCTTCTGTGCCAGGCACGAGTTAGGTGATTTACACGCACCTTTTCTTTGTAATAGCACTACTCCTCAGTGAAGAAGAGACCCTGCATTCTGTGTCCGTGCTGTGTTCTGGGAAATTTCCTTTTCTCTGTGAATGTGTCACCCTTCCATCGAAATGTTCATGAATCAAAAGGTAATGGAAACCAGTCAGAACCAGGAACTTCTCAACAAGTTACACTTGGCTGGCCATGTGAGGAGACCAACTGTAGCACATGAAAGCAATATCTCTCTGATCACAAGGTGAGTATGTGCAAAGTATTCTCTCAGGAAAACATCAAAGTAAAATCCCTCCAAGCTAAGTCCTTCACGGGGTCTGACCTTGCCTCTAGTTCCACTTCCTGCCCATACCTGTGAGAGAACATAGGTCATTCCTGTTTTGCCACATAAAAACAAAATAGCAGTATGAATATTTAAAAGCATATCCAGTGAAGCATTCATTTCCTCAAAATAATTGCACAGTACACTCCACTTGAGAAAAGAGAAGTATTTTTCAGCTTATTTTCTAGTTGTATTTATTTTAAAATGTTTGTTGATCCAATGGCCATATTGACCCTTCTGCTTGCTGCCTCCCACCATAGAAGCTGGAAAAGCCAGACACTTACTTTCCCAGAATCCCTTGCAGCTGGTGGTGGTCATGAGACCCAGTTATAGCCAATTGGACATAATCTGATGTGGCTTTGGTAAAAGTTCTCCCTTTCATTGTTAAAAAAGACAGAAATGATTGGTGCTGCCTCTTTATCCTTCCTATTGTCTTAAACATGGGTTTGATGCCTAGCAATGTGGCAGCTCCTTTGGGGCTATAAGTTGGTGAGAATGAGAACAAAATCCAACATGCACAGGATGAAGGAGAAAAAAATGGAAAGAACCTAGGTCCTCAAAAGCTTCATTAGAAACTAAATTAAATTAAAAGCTAAAGAGGGAAAAGTGTCTCCCTGAGCACCTTAACTAACACCAGCACAGTTGCAGTTTTCTTATAATAGGAGGAAATTACCTCCATGTTTTCCACTGTCAGTGGGTTTCTGTTATTAATACTTACAGCCAAATTCATGCCTGACTGATAAAATTATGTGCCAGACTCTGCTCTGGGCATCATGACTGTGAAAATGTATAAATCATAACTTTAGTTCAGGCGGCTCATAATCTATTTGAACAGACCTATATAGGAAGGAGCACAGATTCTCCCCAGTGTTATTTTCATAATTTACAAATAACAAAACCAAGACCCACAGTGGTTAATTGACTTGTTCAGTGTCACACCTAATAGGTGCAGAGGAAGGACTTGAGCCCAGATCACTGAGCCTTCAGATTGG